ATGAGAGGCTTCGTTTTCTATGTAATGAGGTAGAAGATTCAGTTCGATTTCCCTTAATTCAATAGGGTAAGTTCCATTATTACGCTTTTCGATCACCGTGCTTTTTCGGTCCTGTAATTCGAGAAGGAAGGACAGACCTAAAATGAGGTCTATCCAGCGGTAACCGCCTCCAACACTGCAAGCATACATCGTAGATGAAATGTGGCATTTTGGGTTGTCGCTCAAAACGATGTCCATCTGCAAATAATAAGTATCAGTTTTAGAATGAATTTTGAAATAGAAATTGGTTATCTTCGCACTCCGAATATTTCGCTCAGCTGAGCTAAACTTGCCTATAACAGTCAGTTTAACTGATGCCGGTTAGGTATGTGGATTTGTTGGATTTGAAACTAGCGGTGTACTGAACCATATCCCCGAAAAGGAAAAGGAAAAACATTCAGAGTTAATAGTCTCCAAATTCTCTTTTGCTTCAACCTCCGCATAATTGTTTATGGTTGAAATACTCTTGTGCCGTGCGTGGTTGTTAGGTGGAACAATTTATTAATCAACGGCCTAACGTTTCGATGTTATCGCCTTCTTCAGAGGCCTAAAGCAACTCGAGACAATCTCCATAATGTCCAAAAAGCGCATTACCCCTTGGCGAAAGTCATGGCGAATTCAAAACCCACGATTCGAAGTGTAACTCACCAAGGTTCCACCGCTCAAGCGGATAAAAAATCCGCTGTCGCCACAGGCGACTGTCAGTAGCGAATGAGACTTATTGGCTGACTCCCTTATACTTGTGATAAGGAAGATCACGTTATAATGCTACTGAGTCACAAGTCGCAGTGCGGTATATATGGCAAAAGACCGTTGGTTATGGACGGGCACTCATCTCTACCATTCATTTTAGGATTTCTTTGGAAAATCCAATACGCCACTAATGCCTTTCTTGCTGAAATCTCTGCCTCCTGCGCTAATATCGTGCACTTAACTTCGAAGTCGTTGCCGTTGTGTTCCTCAATTTTATGCCTACCAAGCGCTGTTGTCAGGCTGCCACGCCTTTCTCCGATGTATGTTGACCCAGATGTCCGGCATTCCGCCTGATAAATCATGCTTATCAGTGCGCAGTCACCTATTTTTCCGTAGGGACATATGATGCAACCTTTTGTAATGCACTGCTTGTCGTTGGGCCTATTCCAAATGAATAGCTGCTTGATATTGTTATTAGAAATATTCACTAACTGTACAAAATTTTTGCAGCCCGGACATGAAAATGCCCGCTGCATAGCTTTTCCAACATTGTCGGAGACGAAGGGAAGGCATGGTGATTCAGAGCAAGAAATATAGGAAAGGTTGAAGAAAGCGTACATGGAAGATATCGTTGACAACCTAACCTGATGCTTTCAAACCACTAACATAGCAAAACAAAAATAAAAAGGTAATTTTTGCGTATCCGAGATATGTTACGCAAATATTAGAGCGGGTGCCCGAGGTTTGAGAAGCACGAAGCGCAAGTAGCCATGAAAGGGAAATTTTAAAACAATCTCCTCGGCACTATGTCATCAAATTTCTGTTCAGTATCTATTTATCAAGAAAAAAATTCCCAAACGTTTGGTTCCAACCTTAAGCTATTGTAGTTATTTTCAAATCATGCTTGAACTCACAATCAGAACACTCACCGTTCAACGCATGAATCACCTTTTCTGGTCCCATCATACCGTATGGCTCACCGATACCGTATAGCTCGTGAATGAGTACTCCATACGACCATACGTCTGCCTTCGGTGTCATTTCACGACCCTTTAGCACTTCGGGTGGTAACCATTTGAATCTGCAGAGAAGATTAATACGTTGTAGGTTGCTACTGAGTAGGTAATGATCTTCTGACTCACGGAATCTTATTAGGATCGTCGTAGGTGGCAAAAGTTTCCGAGCGAGTTCTTTTCGATATTCCGAAGTCAGTTAGCTTCAAGGTGTATCTGAAGAAAAAGGACAGTAGTGTTGAAAAGCCATTTCTTCTTATATCTCGATGCTCGCTTGGCGCTGGGTAATTCCACATGTGCATTACAGTTCCTCTCTCGCATTGCTTATATCTTTGATAGATTTTACTATTAATGAAGCCCTCGCATCTATGTGTCCCGTCGCGGTATCCCGTCCTACCAAAGGAGCAACTAAAGAGTTGGACCATGTTCGGGATGGGCAAAATCAACAAAATGAGCTTTCGGCGACGGAGGGAAGCCCGGCATTGGTCATTGAGAAAAGGTGAACCAAATCAAGAAAAACTAAACTCTCCTGTGACTACCTTGTAACATCCACTGGGTGGCTACGAACCAGAACATTCCTGGCCGCCAAGTCTCCATGGACAATCGATGGTATCTGAGCATGTAAATGTGCCATACCACGAGCGATTTGACACAACCAATCCACCGTCTCGTTGATACTCATCTGATAGTTGATCTTCTGAAGTTAGACGCAGTTGCAATCCTTCACTCGGAGGCATTTAATTTTTTTTTTGAAACTCACCAAAAGTGGCGAAAACTGCCAATAACCATTAAAATTAAGAAGTCGAATACACTTACCCGACAGAACGAATCTAGCGCTCCTTTGTCCATCATTTCAAACACCATCAAAATATTGCTGTCTGCTGGTTCCATGCAAAATCCAAAAAATCGTACAACATTTGGATGATTTAGCTGCTGAAAACTAATGATGCTATCAGAAGTAACGTATACCGAGAGGTACGGTAATTACGGTACCCAGTGATGGTATCCCTTATAAAATAAAGGGAAAATTCAAAGAAAGATTCGGGATTTGAGATCGTCCCTTTAAAAGGAGGAAGAGATAAAAAAATTATAGTTACATGAGACATTTCTATTTCACTAATCCAAGGTAGTCGTTGATCTTTGTCGGTAGTGACTAGGCGAAGGCTTTTCACAGCTACAGGTACCATGGAACCGTTTGGAGCCTGAAACAAACAAACAACTTGGCGAATGAAGTTAACGAATTCTATACTTCAATCCTTCACCGTAACGTCATTCCAGAAGATTTCTATGGGGTTTCTTGAATTCTTCAATTAACAGAGGGAATGGTTTACCCTTCATATTTCGCATCTCAAGAGGTCCCGACCAATATGGTCCAACTGAAATTCGCGCTTAACCTTTGTTCTGCCGGTGGAGGCACGGTAGCATTCAAACTGCTCTAGCTACTGTATTGAAGAAGCCGAACTACATCGAAAGGTAGCAAGTATGTAGTTATGTATGCAGCTCAACAAATCTGTATCGAACCCATAACCCGTCGACCGCTTGACTATGTACTGCCCTCACGTCTCCCCCAGCTGCTATATATGGAAGCTGTGAAGTCGAGTCGGCTTCACTTTAAGTTTGAATAATTGCTGTTCCCAACACTGTGTTATTTACTCCCTTACAGGGTGATTTTTCTAATAACTCTTCTTTTTCTATTCAAGTTTACAATAATCGTTCAAAACTTACTTTATATTCTCCAGCGTAGACTGCACCGAATGCTCCTTTCCCAAGTGTTCGAAAGCGATCAACCACCTAACGAAAAAGGGTAAACATGTCAGCCAATATGTGATAATCATATTGTTTTTCTGTTTTTCTCTTTTCTTCATATGTGTCTTTGTTCTTTGCCTTCTTTTCTAGATGCTCAACTCAACCGTCAGTTCAGGCGGAGATACCTGACCGTTGGTGACAGTCGGTAAATGTTCCAAAACGAGGACTGGTTTCAGACCATGGTCAACTCAAAAGAAGGAATCCATCAAAAGTGGAGAAAACGTAGTACTCACAATTGTTCCCGCTTCGGATACTAAGCCTTTAGTCTCCCGCATTGCCAGTTCTGGTCAGTCAGTTAGTGACACTACAAGGAGCTGTCCGACGTAAGACGAGGCCAAGCCTCTATCCTCAATTGCGCTAGCCTTAGTCCGTAGACGATAGCTGCTTACAAACGTGCTTACGTCTCAAAACGATTCCCGTTACGATAGAGATCGTTTAGGTAGGAGTTACAGTAGAGGAACAAGAAAAGGGTCATCTAAAAAAGGACCACTGAATGCACAAACTGCAGAGATCAATTTGTACTGCCTCACCAAATCGTTCTGATTGATTTCAATTGACTTGTCTGCTACTATGCAAAACTCGTCCTTTGGCACATTTGTGTATGGCTCACGTACCTTGTCCTGTAATGCTAGCTCAGATCTTTCTCGGAATTGAGCTTAAGCCTGCACAATTTGCTTACTTTTGAAGTATCGGATTTTTTCTTACTAGCTTTATCTTCGTCTTTTTTATCTTTTCTTTGTTTTGGCCGTTCATACTTTTCCATAGCCGCTGTCATTTCATTAAATATCGTTACACCTGTTGATGAGACACCACGTTTGGCTCTACCACCGATACCTGAAATCCATCCACTTAAGAATCTTCAGACTGAACTGATTACTGCCGAAAATTAATCGATTTCTACCGGCTGTTCTAAGAATTCTTTCATGACTTTGTTTCGAAGGATCCACCATCGTTTTGGAGACATGTTGAAATGGAGCGGCAAGAAGCGTTGGTAGAACTGCCTTCAAGAACACATATATGTAACACGAAATATGAAATTCCAAGAAAAAACTCTCAATTAATCCACCTGATCGAATTGCCGAGCAGCCCATTGTTCGCATTGCATCAAACAAGCACGTGGATCACGTCGAGGTTGTTCACAGGGCGGGGGAACGCTACAGAACGGTTGTGGAGGTGGCTAGAAAATCATCAACGATAAAAAATGATATCTAAGGTCTAGGGTAGTTCCATTGCTCCCATAATCAAAGTAGACTCAGAACTTGTATGCAAAAGTCGTGCTAGGGATGGGACGAAGTTCTTTAGGGGCCCTCTTTGTTATTTACAGTAGGCTCACCCGTGCGGATGAGACACGCTCCTCAGAGAAGATGACGTTCATGGAATTCCAACAGTTAGGTGATTCCTATCAGTGAGTCCCTGCTCGTCTTCGAGCTGTTGGAACGGCTCTACCCTAGTTTAGTATGATAAGCTACTTGAACAAGTAATCTCACAGATAAGCTTGAAGATCAACATTCAGGCCAGTGAAGAGGTTCGAAAAATGGGACAGTAAAGAAGCCCTGGCATAAAAACCTTTTAACTTTTAAATACTATAGAGTGAAAAATAGGATCACGCAATGGCGCGAGAACATCTCCGGTGAGTCTAGCGGCGTATCTAACCTCCGATATTACCTTAACAGTTTCTTCCTCTCACAGCCTGTCCCTCCACTCCCGTTCCTGTTGCAAACCCACCTTGGACAGCGTCCCATACACAAGTCGAGTAGGTAGTTCAGAATCGGTTATAGAGAGGTGGTAAACCAAATCGTACAGAGTGCTGTATCGATTCCCAAATAGCTCATAGTGTCCCATTAGTGACCGGGTAATAGTCAGAATCTGTAACAAGAGCATTTTTGAAAAAAAAAACTTTTTTTTCAAAAGGAAGGTAAAGCAAATCTAAAGAGAGTGGTTCCCGATACTTTGTCAGATTTGCGCGAACAGAGACTCTTAGGCGGCGATTATTGCAGATTGGATGAACGATGCTAATGCTATACATATACCCTTGACCATTGGCTCTGTAAGACCAAGCGAACGACGGTCTTTTCAAGAAGCAGAATAATCTGCCATTTAAGAAGAGCAGCGTTCGCTGAATCCCACATTGCTTAAGATGATAGGCCTACTCTCGACATCACAAAGAAGATTAGCCATACGGTAGCGCCATGGAAACCTACGTAAATCCCACCTTCGGTATGTATGGTGAAGCTACGAGTTCGGCAAGTCGGTCAACATCCTTTTCCTTGTCTTCTTCTCTGCTTCTACTTTCCGAAGCCTTCTTGGCTGCCGGCGAAATGGCAGTACGAATCTGAAGCTACATTGGATTAGTTTGCTGTCTCTATCTTAGCTCGCAAGAGGTTTTCACTGCTCAATTTCACTTTATTTTGCCTTTTTCTGGTTATCTGAGGGGTAATCGATCGGGTGGTAGGTATAATAGGCAATATTTATTCATAAACTATTACAAAAGTCGCTGAATATTTGGATAAGTGAGGACGAGTTAAGAGGGAGAGAATCCGAAAATCCACTCTTTAGTCAATCATTTGTCATTAACATTCCCCATCTTGCTCAAAATAGACTCCTTCCAGCCGATTCCCAATCTCATCCGTTTAACCAATCTAGTAAAAGCCAAGCAAGCTCAGCTTACAGCTTAAGCATCAATATAATTGAAAAATACGGCGGCTACAGTAACTACAAAGGTAAACATAGTCTGCAACGATCCAGGAGGAGCCCTATGAAGTAAAAGATGTATTTGGGGTTTGATCTCAGGTTACCTCCTCAAAATCAACCAGAGTAATCGGGTGCCTGCTAAGGATGGGACCATTCAGATATCCGTACTCTGGGCGTGTTCTCAGTCTGAATGAATGAGCTAATTACTAAGCTCCACCGTTACAGCGGATTCTATCCGCTCTATCCGCTCTAACGGTGGAGCCTGGCCTCTGAAGATGACGATTACGTCGAAACGTTAGGCCGTTAATTCAATAAAGAGTTCCACCTAAAAACCTCGAACGGCAGAAGAATTCGAACAACGTTAACGAAAAATGCCGAGGTCAAAACAAGAGAGAAGCTGGAAATTAAGCTTATTTACTTTTCGGCATCTTACTTCTTGATAGAGAGCAAACTTTAAGAATTACCATAAGCGAATCACTCCTACAACGGCTCAGGCTCCATCCTTTGACAAAAAATCAGTTACTGACCTCCCTTCTTGAAAGGTTTTTACGAATTTTTGTTTTACTCCTACAACGGCTCAGGCTCCATCCTTTGACAAAAAATCAGTAACTAACCTCCCTTCTTGAAAGGTTTTTACGAATTTTTGTTTTCTTTTCTTTCGGAGTTTTTTCCTTGTTTGGTGTTACTCGTCTACATTGATCCAATTCGTACGAGTAAAACTGTGATCCACAGACTAGTTCCGGATCTGAAGAGTAGCTAGATTGCTAAACTGAGAACGGCCACCCCTTTGTAAGTCTGTACGAATTGTTGAACGTGAGCCTTTCCGAATTACCCCTATAAGGGGCTTCAGTAAGACTTTCTGAAAGCCTTCATATGTTTCTCTCAGAGACCAGTATAGGTAACGATCTACAAACGGCCACCCCTTTGTAAGTCTGTACGAATTGTTGAACGTGAGCCTTTCCGAATTACCCCTATAAGGGGCTTCAGTAAGACTTTCTGAAAGCCTTCATATGTTTCTCTCAGAGACCAGTATAGGTAACGATCTACAGAGTAACCAAACCTCTGTGGGCACATTTAGCTGAAAGATTTCAATTTACCTTGTTGGCTCCTACTGATGATCTTGTCCTTTATCTCCCTATCCTCATCCGAATCTTCACATAGAAACATCAGCAGGAAAGGACGATAGTCTGTTGGATCAGGATTCAAGCAAACCGGAGAAAATATTACGAAAACCCCTGAAAATTAAATTTACTCAACACCGTGAATGCCTGAAATAGTGTGCAAGCTTCTTCACTGTGAAGATCATAAAGGGACCGCCGACCCCAACAATGCAGCCGTGTCCAGGCTTCATTCCGAGCCGGCTCTCTGCTCATGAAAACTAGCTTTTCAGGAATTTCAAACCATATCACCTGGACGTTGAGCGGAGCGATCACTCAGAAGGTGAAAATAGGCCGTTTCCACATCACAGATACCAAGGTACCATAGAGGGTATGAAAACAGTCCTGGGTTTTCTGAAAAAATTTTGAATTGATTCCCCTGAGCTTCGGTTCATTTTTTGAATCACTTTACCAGGGAGATATCACATTAAATTATTACATTACCAAATTTGTGTGTGATTGTCCTTCTGACGTTTTGGAGAATAATTCCCCATAAATCTGATAATGGCATACTCGTCATAGAACAGCTTACTTTTTGGGATTACTTATGGAACGACATTTGATTTGGTGAGGCGCTGTTAGACAATGCTTTCATGACATGACGGATCTGTTTTTGTCTGATTCTGGCTCCAAAATATGCAAAAGAGCGGTGCAGCATTGTTCGCAGTTGGAAGCTTGTCACCACAGAGAGCTTGAAAACTAGGGACTTGGATTGATTCCTGCTCAGCACAGTCGTCAAAGACGATGAATGTCGCAGAGGATGGACACGGCAAGGTTGAGGAAGACGATTGCAACCGGGGCTGAGGGGACTAGTAATTAAATAGTTCACCTAAAGACTTGGGGCTCTACTGGTCCTGGTATGGATACAGGATCAATTCAGGAAACTTCGAGGTGATGTAAGAAGTAACAAACCGATATAGTCAATTCTCCCAATTCATTTAGTCCATATAAGAGCAACGAAGTTTCTGTCAGTTTTGAGCTCTTGAAGTGGTTACACCATTACTGCACCACAACCCCACCAGAGTTCACCGACAGGGGGTGGTATTTCTACTTGAATTCCCATGGCAAGTGGCAGTAGGTTAGCAGCAATTACCGTACCACTCCATCAAGGCTACAAAACTCCCCCTTCACAGCTTGGGACTGCGCGCGATCGGATACGGCGAGTAATAGAACCTACTCCTCCCTGACTAGTCAGCGTCCAAAAGTGGTCCGCTTAACCCAACTGCCATCTAGCTTTTGGTAAGAGTTGAACTGAATAAGAATGGTGAGATCACGTAGAAATATACTTTCTCAGGGATCGATTATCCGTTTAAATTAAAAGCAGCTTAGAATTTTATACCTACCTTGAACAAATTTTTTCGGCACAAGCCAACAGCTTGGAATCAGCCCAAGACCACTCTGAGGCCTTTCGCCAACGATGCGTGCCAGACTCCACCGTAATGGTATTCGAAGGTACTCGCCCTTGGGTAGTTTTCGTATTCTGAAAAATCTAATACTAACTCAGTCCAAAGAAATTATGTATTTATTTTTGTTAAAAATTAGATAGGGACAGTGGACATTACAGAGGGCTTGTTGATTGGGCACACAGCAATACCATACTAGGTGGTCATGTCCAACAACCTGCAGAGTACGTTCTATCTTTGTTCCCTAGTCATTTATCAGTGCGGGCACGATTGTAATCATTTGATTGACGTAAAGTAAGTGAAAGTACTGTTGACATTGACGTATTTGGTTTCAGAATTTGGTCATCGTGAAGGGGAATGGGACGGGATGTGTCACCGCGGTCACTTCGACGAAAATAGGTACCTGTTGGTGCAACGATCGTGCCAGGTCTGTTCATCTCTTACAAATTAAAGATGAAGGGTCCTGACACGGCTTGCCGCCGCTTGCGCAGTGACCTATTTTTGGTGAACTCTGCCTTGTACTGACCCATAGTCAGGCTGTAACAGCGGCACCATCATCCTTGAGATTTTTTGTTGTTTATGGGATTGAAATGCACTTTTGTAATACCCGACTTAGGTGGGATTCGCCTTTCAGAAAAGTCCGCTTGCTAGGACCAATCTAAAGTTTCTGAGGGTTTTGAGTAAATGAGGAACTGTACCAAGCAACTGAAACCAAATGGTAAAGAAAAATCGTAGAGAACGCTAAATACGTTACTCACTGATACTCTTCAGCAACGACATTCAGCTCTGTTCCAGCCCAGCAATTTATGTCCAAGCAAGTATCACCACCAAAGAAATCCCACAGACATACACATTCAATTTCAACTGGTTTTGCACATACTACCATAGGAGTGAACGATGCAGCCTTCAAAGGTTCTCATCATACCCGCCTGATTTTCTGTGTCTGCCCATCCTACTAATGGACTAGTTGGAAATGCGGTAGAAGCTGCAACAGGCGCGATGCGGCGCGACAGCGGCAAAACGCCCACGAAGAGCTGCTAAGCTGGGCTGTTTCCAAAATGCAGACGGCAAAAATTCAGAATTTGGATAGTTCCCAATATTCCTGTGCATGCAGCAGGGCTAGTATTTCGTGAATTCGCTAAATTTAGACCGGGGGACACGCACAGGGTGTATCAGGGAGGGCAAAGGGCAACTCTAAGGAGACCGTGAGGCGTGAGTAAGTCAGTGTTGCTATAAATATCCGAACATGTGCACTATAAATCCATGACTGCTTCACATGATGATAAACAAGTTACTTTGGACGATAACTGATTACTGCGTATAAATCTGTACTGTAAGTGCAAAATTCCAGTAGCACTAATCAATACGTATTCATTGCACTTTGGATAGCAGCATGAGGTCGTTTTGCTCGCGCGGAAAACGTTTTGCTTGGTCATTCGATTTGGAGATGCGGCTTTGTCAGATTTTGGCTTCATGGCATCTCAACAGATCAATATCTATGTTTCGTATTGGGGTATACTACGGTAGGGTGCGATACAGCGACTACTGTACTAAAATGCCATGTACAAGTACCATAGCTATTGTAGTACAGTACTTCAACATCATCAGTTTGCCTTATTGATTTAAAATGGATTTAGTAAATCGTTTTACCTTACAAATTGGAATTTTTAAGTAGATCCTGATCATCGTGCTTAAGCTTTCGTCATTTTGACCAANCGGTAGGGTGCGATACAGCGACTCCTGTACTAAAATGCCATGTACAAGTACCACAGCTATTGTAGTACAGTACTTCAACATCATCAGTTTGCCTTACTGATTTAAAATGGCTTTAGTAAATCGTTTTACCTTACAAATTGGAATTTTTAAGTAGATCCTGATCATCGTGCTTAAGCTTTCGTCATTTTGACCAACCCTCTAGCATCTTTTTCCCTCTCACCAACCCACCGTCTCTAACATATCGATTTTTTGACAATCAAAAGGAAGCCTCAATCGGTCAGGTTTGTCAGTTTTATGCTGTTAATCGTTCGTGCTGGTCCCCTTTTACTCCTTCCTATTTTGAAACCCATCTCTCTCCTTTTTTCTACATTCTCATTCATGAAGTCTTACTTCTAAATTCTCATTACTCAACCAAGAACTCGGCAAATCGTTCCGTTGCACAAAATTTTGAATTTGTCTTGAATCGACTTACTTGATCTGGTTCTCTGAATATGATATCATCAGTCAATGGACGTCCATCAAAATCATATCCCAGGGTGAGAAGGCTTCGAATAATTTGCTCTGTTTTGCTTTGAGTTGTTGACGATGGATATTCACGAACATCTTCAGGAGGCTGGAAATCGGGGCAAATTTTAAATGTGCTGCCCATTTTTCTCATTACGCTTTTATCTTTCTCGAGTCGTACAGGAAAAACTACTCTAATGCACGCAAATTAACGGTCAAGGGTGAGTGATCCAATTATTCGGAATGCGCCATGCACTATACTCACTGTAAATGTTGAGCAATGCATTTGCGTCAAGCCCCAAAGATCTGTGTTGGTAGGAAAGGCGCAAAGATTCCACAGGTATTCCTACCCACGATCCCGTGTTCTTACTTACTTCTAACCCTACCAGCCCTTACCAGTTCCTATCACTTTCTGTCATCAGCCAGCAATGCTGTCTTAACCTGTTTTTCATGTCTAACATGAAATTTCATGTATGTTACCCTAAAATTCATCCATAACATGTAAAACATAACATAACACGTATAACATGTATATGACATGTTCGTGTCTTACTTCGGAGTATATACTGGAACTTTCGGTGGCGTTGTCGTATTTCGCATAGTATGGTATGGCCAATGTCGGTATTGCTACGATATCGCCTTTTTTCACTGTGAACTCGTAATTTTCTTTATTTTCTGAAAGGTATTGAGTAATATTAGTGTTTTTCTATCTAACCCGTAAGTTAAAGCTACACTGATTTGTTTCCCAGCAAATTCCTTTCAAGTGGCTGAGCCTACCCAGTCTATGAGCATAGGAGCTGCTGTGCTTCTTTTCGATACCTTCGGGCATTGGAGGTTACAGTATACAAATGAACCTATATGCGTCGATCTGAACTGATAAGTGCTGCAAGTTTTCTGTTCGTATCAATGTCCCACTTTCGTTCATTTCCTTCAAATATCACGGCTACACTTCTAAAACTTGATTTCCATACTGAACAATAATACATTGTGGTATGGAAATACAACAATCAAGAATTCGGTTTCCCTTTAGAGTTCCTACTGTTGGAATCCGCAGACGAACTTCTCAATAGTCAACTTGAGAATTAGTTGGTATTGGTGATATATTACCCGGCAGTTTGCTGAATTCCATCGCCTTTTTGTTTTGGCTGTAACTTGCGGCACTAGCTGACATGATGCGGTTAGAAGCCATGCCAGATTTGGTACAAAGCTGAGGTCAGTTATTATCCAAGTAATGTCGATTCTTTTGTGTGTCCGAACTTTTATTCGAAAGCTAACCGTATAGTCAACAAATCCAGTTGGGTTATATAAGAGTTAAGAGTAATTCAAGAGCTGAAGCAACATAGTTATTAGCAGAGGCAGAGTTCTGCGTACTGGCATAAGGAGAGCTGAATCAAGGTAAAACTTTGTAATGTATTGATGATCTCAAAACAATCTTCTCTTCCTTCTCCTCGAAACAACCACTTGAAATGTGCTGTTTGTTTGCAAATAATGACGACTCATTTTCTCGTGAGGAAAGTGCTACGCCTTTTATGATACTACACATCTTCCTGAAACGCCCACTGTAAGAAAGGCACTGTAGATGGTTGGCACAGACAGTTACCCACTACCACTAGCTTTCACAATGATCAGGCAAAAGCGGTCTCTCACACTTTTTTTGGACTTAATCTTTGGGCTTGCAACATGCTTATTCCCATTTCAGTTTCCATAAAGCAGACATAAGCTTGTTGTTCGCTTTTTCTTTTCGGCTGATTTCCCGTGACGAGAAGGAGATGAGTGGTCTCGGGATTATATGTATCTCTCAGATTTAGAATCATCGGTCTGCTTGACTTACGAACTTTTTCTTTTGGCTCTAATTCTTCTTCTGGAACCAAATGAGGCTATAAATTATCTGAAAACTGAGTAGCAATCAAAGCTGGGGCAAATCGATAAGAGCTATTCTAAAGCTCCTTTCAAGCCTGCTTCAATCGCTTTCAAGAGAGCAAGGGGGATTGTATAAATCTATACTTCGAACTTTGTGGATGCTAGGTGAGGATGATTTCTTAAAACTAGACTAAATACGATGGCATTGCCTGTTAACGGTCACACATTTTCAACTATATACTTTTTAAGTAAGCAGAAGTGAGTGATGGATCTCTTTTTTATTTTTTTTTCTGGTGTATTATCCAATATGGCAAACGTTGCGGAGGAAGTTGCAGAAATGAACTCTTCTACACATGTGTTCATTAGCCCTAATCCAATCTTTTAAAAATTAGCAATCATCTTTCAAAGGGCTGGCGTTCCATCTCTGCTTCGATGAGAGAAGTAGACGCTATCTTGAGAATCGCCCGACCCGTTCTCTAGAGGTTTTTATGAGATTCCTTCGTGCGTGTGGCGGTAACTGAGAAAAAAAGTTACTAGCCAACGTCATCTCCACAAAGTTTCGCACTAAAGCGAAATGGTTGAGAACACTCCAAAGCCCGTAAGGTGGGCTCAATAATAAGTGCTCCCGAACTGTAAAAACCTTATCGTTTGTGGGAAATCCTCATAGGTGAAATTTTAGCTTAAAACTGTTCCCAAAGCACTAATCATGAACATCTCTAGGATTATCGTCCGAGACTATGAAGGATCAGCGGATTTTACTTCGAGTAAGATTTTGTAATCCTGCCAAGCTTTTCAATTAGTAGAATGGCTTGAGATTTACGGAAAGTAATTCAGCCGTCGTCCACGCCTTCAAGAGGTTAAAAACAAAAACAGAGGTTAAATTGGTCATAGCTGATTTGAAATTGAATGGCATCGGGTCCTTCAACTCAAATTAAAATGTGAAAAGGAACTTGTTCCAACTTCACAATGCACTTACCCACTACAGCTGGACCACTAATATACGATCCTATTTCCCGACAATAATGTGTAGTGGTCGGCTAACCCTAACTATTATTCTTTTCGCTTCAGTTGATTCAACAAATCTAAGGCAACTTTGCACTTCATTTATTATTTACTTTAGTTCCGTCTTACGATGCTTCTTCTCAGCAATGGTGTATTTGTAGGAGCAAAAAACAAAAATAGTCGAACTCGAGGCGTAATACGAATTTACCCATAATTTGATTAAGTAACTTGCCTTTGCTGTCATGAAAACAAAGAGTAGCCAAATTATGACCTATCCTTCTCCGGTGCGTTACCTGCCCGACTCCCATTCAACTCTAGGGGTTTGTATACTTGTGTCAGTATGTTGAGTATGTGGCTGTTTTTACAGCTGATTGTTATTAGTATTGTTACAACTATATTCACTTCTCTTCGATAAACTTCTCTCAGGATCGATTCGTTGGTGTTGAGCGTACTTCTGAAGGGATTACGTGGCAATGATATTTATGGTTGCAATATACTGCGATTTCGAAAGAGCAATCTACGAAAATCCGATTCGCCCCCACGAAATGTCAGTTTTGAGCGTTGCTGACTGAAGTTCCTCTCCGTTAACTAGATTGCATGACAAAATGCGGGGGTTTGTTGTTGTTTGTTTCTGGGCTCATTGCATCCACCCCCATACTTATCATTGCAACGTCATCGGCGAGACTTTTAACGTCCCTCAGGAATCAGTGCGTGACTTCCTTGATGCACCCTTCAAACTTGACTTTTGAACCGGAAAAGAGCTTCAAGGTATTCTAAAAGGGGAGTAAACTCAACTTCTTGCTTTAAAACAGTAATTCCATACCAGGTCAGCCTTCACAGTGATTCGTGCACCTTTGCTCAACCCATCCCCTGATTTTAATGGAATTGTGGCACAACTTCAAAGCTTAATTCATGCGAACTCGATTAACGAGAACGTTTGCAATGGAAAAGACGGTTTAATTAAGTTTCCCATATTTTTCTTGGTCTTAGTTTTTCTACAGGGTCACCGAGCCTTTTTTCTCCAGAACGATTTCCAACTTTATTTACCTTTCTCTTCCCCATCGCTCCAGTAGCAAATCATCTTATTATGTTCCTGTAAGTAGCAAATCATCTTATGTATGTTCCTGTAATCCTTACACTGATTAATCTGTGATGCTACAGATATGACACATGTTGCAGAAATGCACGGTTATCTTTAGTCCACTCGAGAAACGAAATCCTCGAGGGATATGTCAGATTAAGCTTTAGAGTTTTCTTATCTCATTAATTGCTTTCCTACGCGTAATGAGAGAAAGGGTGAGTCATAATGAGAGAGTGGGCAGCACAAGCCGAGACTTTCTCTTTCTACATTCTTCAGATTACATTCTCTTCATGTAGAACTTTTACGCGAACTGGAATACAAGGAATGGGTCGAACGGTTCAGGTTTCACATATAGCGGTCTAATAACAAAGCGATTCGAAATTGAACATACGAGCCTTTCAGGGTATTTTTCATATATTGGAGAGAATTCCAAACATGTGGCCACCTGGTTTTCCGAAAGAGACGTGCAGTTTCGACGCAGAGTAAACTCTTAGTGAGAACTTCTACTGTCCCTTCAGTCATTGCATACATCGGAGATGCAATTCAAATATCTCTTCGATTTCGAAACGGATCCGATCACTTGACGTATCTTTGGTGAACTGATTGATCACTTTCACTTCGTTCAAATTAATTTCTGCTTTTTTTTTATTATCAACTAATTTCCATAAATTTTCAAGTGCAGCAAAATTCCCATTCAATCTTTTTCTAAACAGTGATGCGAATATGAACTAGACAGTTATCAAAGAAATTGGGTATATCTTGGCGATACGAGATTCACAATGGTGTTTTCCGCCAGAAAAACGGGGTTGTTTCAGAAATCACTAGCGCTCGTAGAAGGACATTCATTTTTTGCTTTGTCCTTGCGGACGTCTGGCCTACGAGAGCGTTCTTGAACACACTGCTTGAATATAAGAATTGTCGGGTAAATCGAGCATTGATGGGATTAGCAGCTAGAGTCTAGTCGCAAGGGTCCAGTAAGTTTTATAAATATGGTTTGGATTGCTTGATAAAGTATCAACCTATAGAACTTACTTTTCTTTATGTATGTCAAGTGATAGTTTCTGCAATTGCCTAAAATTGCGGCTTCTCTTCAAGCAAGAACTTGCTTTCTATATTAGGTCTATTTTTGATTTCCAGAGCATATTTCAGGAATACCCTGATATCCAACGTTCGATAAACATTGGTTTACCTTTTGGATTCATTTTCAGAGAAGAATCCCTCAGGCTCTCCAGTTGATTTCTGCGGTATCATCGGGATCGCCACAACTAAAAGAACATCAACTGAAAAAAAAGATAGAAGTCAAAAACAAACACAGATCTAGCTCCTATCCTCCTGTTCCATTATTATTAGCAAGATTAGCAATTTCCTTTCGTTATTCCGCTATTCCTCCTAAAACCTTTTTTCAAAGCAATATGTTTGCGTTCGTTATTCAAGAAACTTCAAGAAGGCAGTATGCAACTTTTCCTCCATTCTGTGATCTTTCTACTCGATTAGGTCAAAGGTGTAGTAGCAAAATCCTTGGTAGCCAGGTAAAATCAAATATAGCAATCCTCCTTGGGATAGTAGAGATATGTTCATTGGCTGGACTTTTGGCGATTTCGCCTTCGTCAGGGAAAAAAGAAATTTGTTAACTACCTTATTAAACATCTCCTCAACCCTTACGAACCTTGTGATTAGACAGAAACATTTGGGAAATAAAGATGCACCCATTCCAGCCCCGGCTTGTACAGCTAAGGTAGTCGTACCAGCCTCTCTTCAGTGCCTCTGTACGAAGGCGATCATATAAAGAGCTTAAGCCGATGCTTCAGTGTGAGGTATCTCTCGCTTCACTTTAGTTCGGAATCTTTAGATTGAATAAGAATTCCATTGGATGGTGTTGTGGGCACACAGTTGATATTGCTGCGTCAAGGTTTTCATGTTCATCTGATCAGTATTCCATGTAATTTCCCAAGCACATGGGTTCCCTTTACTGTTGACAATCGCAACTCAGTTATATACCTGTTATTTCAATCCACATCTATTGCCTTTGTCACCTCGTCGATGGTGAATCACACTACGGCTTCCTGTACAATCCTACAGAGTAGCAAAGTGCAATAAAACAGAGTCAGGGCAATACAGTAGTATAAGAATCTTCTTAAAAGCCATACCCGTAAGTTTCTACGCATGAAAAATTCCACCTGTTCAGAGAACCGTCATCGAAAAACCGCACGGTTGACTTGAATGCATTTGTGTCCTTTGGTTACGGTATGTTGTGTTCGGACTCGGGAATATCTTGGAATCATGCCAGAGTCATAACGTATTGTCAACGAAAAACTCGTCTGGCGCCGATGTTTGACTATACCTGTGCACGAGGTCGACCCCTCTGGACGGCGCCCACGCTGAGGGCACTGTTTCGCAATAGGACTTCCTCACTACTCATCCTCAGTACTTGACGGCGCTTCCGCTTAATAGCATGTCATTCTTTGTGTCCCGGAAACCTGATATTTTCGAAACTCTGCTGCCGCGAAGGTCATAGGTTTGATGTAAGGCATTGAGATAGTGATGGGAATCAGCACGTCTGTACGTGAGTATACTACGTCCGGCGCGTTCATCGAGATACTCATCTTGCCTGGCACCGTGTCAACACCTTTAATTGGCGCTTTTTCCCGCGAACTTCATACGAAGTGGTGTATGATTGATGAGATAATGTAACAAAGGTACAGCTGACTATACATTTAGTACAGTGTCACTGGTTGAGATAGTAGTCAGCACTGTACTCGGACTCTTCATTGGGAGTTTTAAGAAAAAACTCGTCCTCCAGCGTTTGCCGGTCCTGTTCGCCACGCGTTTTCTTAAATGAGGAGGAGGTCACTTCCTTAGTCACATCGGAAAGTCACTCCTCCCTGGTGCAGTTCGAACAGGTCCTTTCAAGAGATATTACAGTATCTACACTGTGTTGGTCGTACTGTAGCGTTCGCATATGCAGTACATTCAAAACCATCAACGACGATGAGACATCCGACCTGGCAGTTAATCTCATTGTCACCAGTCACAGGCATTACAGCGTTCACCCGTGGTTTCATAATACTTCGCAATCTATTCGAATAGCGTAAGGTCTGAGATGGTCAAGGTCATGTCTGGCACATGGTGCACTGTGAAGGTTGCCGCATCACCTTTCGGGTTAGACTCTTGGCAAATATCCAGCGATTTATGTGGTCTAGTTGTTCTCAGAAGTCCTCTAGTCACTCCCACCAGAGCAAAATGAACAGTTCTTTCGCCAGTGTGGTTTTTCGAACATACGTCCTATCCATTCCTTCATAAAAGCTCAGTATGGGAGCACATTGAGCCAACAATGTATGTTGGATGATTGAAGGGTGTATGAAAGCTGAAACCGGCTCAATGTGATTTTAACAGAACTTCTGTCCTAGTCATATTGTCAACTGGTGGAAAAGTCTAAGGTAGGTTTAGGCACCGTCGAAGGTTTTTTATCAGCCTGGTCTCTTCCCTTGTGCATTTGCCAGTTGCCGCGTGAGAACGGAACGCGAACGTCTGGCTACGAAGAGTCGGCAGGTCGCTCTATCTTTGATCGGAGCCTGTCTAATCGTCTAATGTCTAATAAGAGGATCGCTGACTTATGACAACCTGTAATCTGGTGATTTCGGAGGCGCTATCATGCTCAATAGATTTATTGGCTGCAAAACGTTCTTTGAATTGCAGAACGTCTTACTGAAGTTGATGTGCAAGGTAATGGGTTTAGCAATTTCCAAGAACTGATATCCCTCTCAGTTGTGGTAATACCACATGATTCGTTCGTCTGCAGTGCCTAGTTATTCAGATCGAAAGCTCTGCACCACTGTTTTATCGACCACTAGTCTTGCAAAGATTAAGCTGAAGACAGAAGAAAGAACCATCGAAGTTCTTGCCAAGAAGGCCGATAACGAAGTGATAACGTAAGCGGAAGAAAGCAAAAATCGCCAGCATGGGGTTGTATAATGCTCTCTTGTACAGCGGCTTGCCACAGATCAATTAATATTTATATTTTATGGAAATCATCTGTTTGGAAGTAGACGTTCTGCAAGTTTCCCTTGAATGGTTTCCGAGTACTATCTTATTAATGACAATCTTGGTATAGCTAGTTATTCAGTGATCGGCCTCTCCTCTCGATGGATTCCTCGGACCATTTATCTCAATCCATGTTAAGGACCTCTTAGGTGTCATCAAGAGGATTGATGACGCACATAAGGATTACATATGTAAGGATTTCTTATGGTTAATGTCAAAACACAATATAGGTATTTATTTTACTAACAAATATAGCATTTGTTGTTATTCTTAAGAAAATATGAGATCAACTCGATCGTTGTGAGCAGAGAGTCGGGTTGAAAGATACAATGATGACCTCATTTTGAATGAACATATGACATCTTTGAAAGAAGAGAAAACAACTAGTTAGCTTAGACAGTAACGCACATGTCATCCACAGATTAATTACTTAGATTTCTTTCTGGTCGAATAACAACATGACAAAGAACAAGCCTAGATTCTGGAGAAGGCACATGAGATCAGTGGATTGCACTGGCTGGCAAGAAAGACATCGCAGATCAGGAAAAGAATAGGTCATGCAGGTGAACCTATGGTTCGGATCCACTGACTTGATTGATAACGATGACTTAAAAGAGAAACTGCTGCCCATAGATGGGCATTGAGCCAGTGGACTAGATAAGAAAAGGAGTGTGGCTAGCGACCTTGGATCTCGGTCACCGACTAACCAGAGTATTATCTCAGGTAGTTGAGCGTTCCATGATTCAAAGCTCGTGTCTTCTCACAATTGTGCTCACAGCCGGAAGTCTTCGAAGAATTTCTTGAATCTTTGCACTCGATTCGTTTTAAGGTAGTGCTTATCTCCTTTGTGATGGCTGTGATGATGGTGGTGATGAGAGGCATGCTTATGTCTTGGTTCGATCACACGATCGATGACTACTCCAGCTGTATCGTCTTCGAACATGCGGTAGTCGAAATCATCTTCTGAAAAGCACTTCTTAATTGAACGCCTCTGAGTTCCTTATTTGAGCAGTTTGTCTGGCGGAATATTCTTGCAATTTCTATGATCGAACATACCTGATACACCTTTGTATTGTGGCCTACATAGAGCCACTGAGCATAGCATAACCAGGACCGATAATAGTAGTACTTGTTTCATTTCCATATCTGAAATGAATTTATGAATAAAAGCCATAGGGCCGTAATGACACCGTGTTGCGGTCCAACATAGTACTGATTCATACGGTCAAATGAGAAACAATCATGTAATAGTGGGCAATAGCGGCCTATTAGGATCAGATGAGAAAGCGAAATTACAAGCATGTTCGGGCATGCCACTGTTACAATGACCGACCCTCGACCACGCCTCCAGGTCTCGGCGTATCAAGGAGTCGTCTGGGCGTGGCCATGTTACCTATCCAGTGTCTGGGTTGTACAACAGTTTTCCTTAAGTTAAAGGTCAAAATGTTTTTTTGTTGAAATTCAACGTCATACTTCATTAAGGTGGATTAACCTTCTCGGTCAGTTCGATATAGGCGTAGCGCCAGGCACTAAACGGCGCGAACACAACCGAAGTTGCAGTGTGCGCGCCGCACATTAGCTTTGGTCTAGGTTTCAAAAAAATGAAGTTGTCTGAAAAACTAATTCTCGAATTCGCAATTGTTCACTGCGTTTTGAGGAAGTCTACTTGAGGAGAGATCAAAAAAAGCGAAAGGCCGTTCTCGAGCTTATACAACAGTTTATAAAGATCTCTTCATCATTCTCAGAAGTAGAGTTTTCTTTGTGATCAACTGAGGAAAATGAAGGGATTTGGTATTGAATAGAGAGGTGAAAAATATAAGGCCATCGCTTTAGATGAACTTTTGTTCTGTGCCTGAGGCGCGAGTAGAGTACAGACGACTGGTTGTTTGGAAGTTAACGTTTGCAAAAGATACATTAACCGGTTGATGCTTTGGTTCCAAACAACCATTGTTCGGCTATTTTAAACCTTTCCATCAGAGCGCTTTATCTTCAAGAATGCTTTGTTTCACTCATGAACGCCTGTACACAAGCTTGATCTCAAGCAGTTGTTGTTTTCTTGTTATCTCTTTGTTACGTATGTTACACTAAAATGATCGGAAGAATAAGCATGGATAGCAAAAACAGAAACAAAAGATAGAAAATGAAAGTTATAAGATCATGCATAGATCTTGTCGAAATTAGATTTTTTTCACATTTTTTAGGCTTCGAGTGAGATGTGCTCGTACGAGCCTCTCGAAAGGATGCGGCTCAGCTGGCTATGTGGTTCCTACAGCCTTCTGTGATCTTCTGGTAAAAGCCTATAGTACATGAAATACAATGAATGCAGAAAGAGAAGGGCAAAGTACGTTCAGGGGATTGGAGCTCAAAGCAAGTTTGAAGAAATGGATGAAATATGGTAATTATTGGGATTTGATAGGGTAACGGATGGGAACCACTACTGATACTATTTAAAAATGCCCTTCGATACCCTCCGCTTAGCTGTGGTTGTAGCGAAGAGCCGTTCATAATTATTTGATTTACGCATCTGTCTAAACCTGTGGGAAAATATAATACTCGGAAGGATGGAAATGAAGAGAGCTGATCTTGGGCCTAGACGCTCAATAATCATAGCTGAAAAGCGTTCAGTAGTGATTAGTGATCAGCGAATTTAGCTGGTCTCTGTATCTGGTGTTTCCCTTTATAGAGATGCGCCGTCGAGGGGTTGGCACTAGCTCCATAACCTGTTCCTTCGCCCTATACCATACATTATTTGTTTCTGAGTCATCTAAATAATCTTCAAGTACACCGGAAATCTATAGTGATTTCATCTTACTCATCGAGTAACAAAGGGGTCGGTTATAGATTGACGCAATGAGGTTCTTCCTTATCTTCACTAGGATGCGGTTTCTCAAAAACGAAGCGGATCTTAAGAAGTAATTAAGGTCAGGTTTGTTGTTGTTGTTGTGAAATGTCATGACTAAGTTGACCTTCAGTTCAAATGAACTTGTCGCGTGATTGAATCACATCTTACTCGTGCAAAGTGACCTACAGAATAACGACGATGACCGGTAAGTGTTGAACTCTTCCACTAACGCTTTACGGATGCCTCTCAGGATTCCTTGATAGCTCAAAGTCCATTGTGTTCGGTTTCAATTCGCAAAACACGTTCAGTGAAAGCGTTGGGGAACCTGTTCCTTACGATTTTGGGCTCACTTCCTGACGATTCGATTTTCTGGTAGGTCATTTGGAGCCAGTCGACGCTTCAACGTTTTAGTTATCCGTGATCACGTGGTGAAGTCTCCTTTTGTTTCAAGATAAGTAGAGAAGACAGTTTCCTTATTTTGGTTTCGGTTTGTGCCGCCGCAGCCATCACGAGGACAAGCAGTCTATCCCATTACCTTGATCATTGAAATGTACGGTATCTGCGAGTATTTGTTCGTAAACATCATCATGGAATTCTCATATGATTAACGCTATTTCTTAAATGTTACCATTTGTGGTTCTAGGCCTTGATCAGTGAGATCCATACCCAAGTGATCCTTAGAATACAGTGAAAATAACTTGTTTGCCAGCAATCACGAAGGAGTCAACAAAAACAGTGCTCTACATCGTCAATGCTATTTCTAAAGTTGATATTTATAATCTTGCTTGTTAGCATATGTCAGTGTTTACCAAGGTGATGAACACGTAGTTTCTACGGTGGTGTCTACCGTCAAGAACAGAAGCCAAATTCTCAGACTTTTCTGTGGTAGGCTTATGATTCATACTTAACCATGAGCAGAGAACTATAACTCAAACCTAGCGTGTGGCGTACACCTGTGATGGCCAACGAACCCTCGAATGGAGTTTTCGAGGATTTCGTTGAATTGAGAGTAAGGAGTTTTTCCGTGATATCAAAGGAAATGTCTATATCTAAATATGGTTCAGAAAACATTACATTCAATCGTTCTCAGCTTCAGATTACTGCACTGTCACTGTCGTGAAAAAAACGCCTTTTTCCCGTAACACTTTCACGATGTTCTTCGAGGTTTCTCAACTTCTTCTGAGGCGTGTTTTGTAAAAACTGATCAGATTACCTTTGCAGCAGCAAAAAATTCCCTTCACAAATGCAAAAAGTCAATCAAACGAGGTGGAAAAATTGTGCGGTATAGCAACTGGTGTGAGGGTCATAATCCAGGCATCATTGAAAAAAGTAGTTTGCACAACGGATCTACTTGAAACGCCTTTGCAAAGAATGGTAAATTTCTCCAGCTTTTGCATAGGGGTGCCTTCAGAAGCTGGAGAGCTCTTTCGAAGGTTTTTCTATGGAAAAAGGTCAAAGTCTCTTTCATTCCAAAAGCGAAACTTTCTAGCCTTTAGAAGATAAAGGCTCCAACAAATGTATCGCTCAAAGAAGGGCTTGAGCTCAAGTAGGCTATTAAAGGCATTCCGCAGTTGCAAAATTCTAGTAAATGTCTCGAGTTTAGCCATAGACCTCTTTTACGCAAGCGATAATTTGGTGAACGCTAACCGATGATAATGGGATATACCATGCAGTTATCGTTCACTAAAGGTCAGTACCTGCTTAAGACCTCTTGTTTTTATGTTCTCGCTATCTGAGCAACTGAACGCCGAAACCCGGGATTTTAGAAGTATTGAAGATATATATATATATATCTTAGGAGACAAACTTATCTCATAAGCTACGATGTATTTTTGGCTTCGAGCTGTACTTTTTTATCTTTTCCCTACTCACTTCGCTTTACAGTAACCTTAATCAACGCACAGAGATCGTCCACATTATAGCTCAAGGTTTGCAGTGTTTTCGGAGAAATCACGTTTCATCTGAACAGTTGTGTACTTGTTCTTGATCTTTGGCAGGCAAACTAATCAAATGCTCATCATTTTTCAAAAAACCAGGAACCCTCTGACAGATTCTTTCTTGTGATGCTAAATGTTGCATAAATACGTTGTTATGTTTGATGAGCTGACCTTTTCCTGGTTTTCCTTTGGACTTCTGGTACTGAAATGATACACAGCTTTTGCGTAGGGTTTAGCGCAGGACTGGTCCAAAAATTGTCGATTCAAAGATTATTCCTTCTCTGGCTTCGTTACAACAATTATACATAGTTCTCTGGGAAGATTTTTCAACGACAGCTTTCTGTCGCCTTCTGCTCTATACAGAATGATGAGAGCTTTTTATCATCTTTGGACAAGTTATGGTAGCGTGCGATTCTTGTTTTGTTGTTGCCAATCATCGCCATTAATCAATGGTTTATGGCAGACCTGTTGTAGTAACTGACTTTATCACGTGTGCAATGAATACCGTAGGCATTCTGTAATCAGTCTGCATTTTGATTTTCTGGACTCGGCGTTAACCAATTAAGGGTCTAATGATTAACGATGATTAAATGTGATCTCGAAAAGGACTATTCTCTGATTTACTTTTGGAGTCGATTGGGAGCTATTGGATGAAGGCTGCATAGTTTAAAAATAGCCTGTCAAAACATTCGTTTCACACAGAAAAGGTGTCAGAAGTATTAAATTGGATCTGCCCAACCTATGAGTACTACTATGGGTACTGATATTCAAACACAACACTAATTAATAATGCTGACTCCTCTGAATGGGTATTTGAGCAGTATTTACCGTAACTATAAGCATAAGGTAAATAAATAAATAAGGTGACTATGCTGCTTGCTTAGCTTTTACTGAGAAGGGTTTTCGTCGATGCTTCAATCTGCCACTTGGCCAGGATTCTCCAACTTGTCGTTACCAATTTTACCTCGTGACTTTCATAATCATTAATCTGATACGTCACCTTGGTTTCAGGACTATTTCCGAACGCTTATCAGATTATTCTATCAGAAACAGAATTAGCTAATCATGCTATTAGCAAGATTGTCGCAACTGGGCTTCTTGCCTGACAAGATGACAGATGGGAAAGCGGATGGATGGAGTAATGCGTGGAGATGATCGAAGGAACGCCGCACTTAACTGATAATCGTATCTGATTAGTCTTGGGGCTTAGTAAGTCTCCCGGATCGGAAGCAGCCGCATAGCCGCTGAAATCATTTGTGGAGAGGGTCCTATCATACATAGATTGCTCTATGAAAGCTATTTCGGTTTTCTGCGGCAACCCGAAAAGCTATGACCGTTTATGGTCCGATTAGGCTTCGTAGTTTCACGGCTTAGCTCTATCCGATCATGGATCGGAGACTTAACATAGGGATGCTTAGGTGTTAGCAAAACGCTCTGTTTGGGACAGGATCAACTCGCAGTCGTGATTTTGATTGTCATTGGGTATCTACTGTAGGTCTGAAGTCGAATGTTCTCCCCATAAGGTTGAGCCCTAGTGGTAACATTCACATTGGTGCTAAAATGATCGTCCAACGAACCAAAGCATAAAACTACGTAATGTCTATTCTCAATTTTTCACGATCCAACCGGTATGTTCTTCTTGAACCGACCAAACTATTAGAAGGCCCAGGACCACACTGATTCGAATGCGTAATATCCTCATTCCAAAAGCTAATCCGTTATGTAGTTTGCCTTCTCCGAGTCCAGTCTTTTTAAGTAATCTGTAACAATACAGTTCAACTCCAGAGCAATGATACCTTTTAGTTCGTTAGTCTTCTTCATAGTGAATAGGCTTCTTTTTTAAGACTGCTGAATAGTTCAATTATTTTCTTACTGTACACGTTGCTGTTGCACCGAGATCCGCTGTTAACCTCTTGCAGCCATCCTTCACTGGCCAGCCCACAATGTTTGTGGTAGAGAACGTTACGTGGAAAAAACACTTATATCTCATATTGATATCTATTCCGAGTACTTCGGATTCAGCTATGAACTATAGTGCAAGTTTTTCACAAAAATTAAATCCCCTCATGTCCTACACTACTATGTAAATTTTAGATCAATGTTGGTGCGATCAGCATCTCATTTTTGAGTGCGAAGTATTTTTCCCTGATTGGATAATATGTAATGGGACTATGTTTTAATGAATGATTACCTTGCGTGCAGCCGCTTGAATTCCATAGTACCTCATTCGATCCTTCTCCACTCCTATCTTTAATTTTGAAGGGCTTAACATACACCCACATACCTACACACAACTGTAAATTTCCCTTGCAGTTCCTCTCCTCTTCTCGCTAGAGCTAGGGTGAGCATCTTTCAAATGGGCTCTTTCAGCTTGAACTCCGCGACACCGTCTAGATGCGCCAGTTCTACTACTTTTCTAAATTTTTTCGTCAACCGACTCACTTTTCGCTTACTGTTCCAAGCCCTGATATAAATTTTGATCAGCGGTGTATATTGAATCCTTTTTGACCGCTAATCTTTTTCGGTCGGCTTTCCAGCGAAACGTTAGAAATTTATTGGAAAGGTGTGCCACGGAACCGGGTTTTCAGACTTTCGTTTTCGTTTTCACTTATTTGGTCTTCCTTGATTGATGAGGGGAGCTGTTTTCTGTCCTTTGCAATCTCCAGAACAATTATTTCCGAAGTGAACTTACAGAACCCCTCCAAATAGCAGAGCAAGCACAGTATGAACAGGCAGCAATCTACAGGCATGTCATTTTGAATGCGCTTTTTTATATTAAAACCAAAGGTTTGTTTTTGCTAGATAGAAGAAAACCTACTATGGTTATGATATGCGATCGATTCTTCCAAACATCACACTGTGTCTAGGGTCCCTTGTACTTGATGCGATTGCGTGTTTTATAATAAGGTCCTACGTACTAAGCGTCATTGAGACATTCTAGTTGCATTAGTATGTACATTACATTACAGTAATCTAAGCCCTCTTGTGTAAATTCCACCCACAGCCACTTCCAAGACAGTACACCCACTCTACTTGGATTCGACTAGTACTTCTAATTAGCAAGCATCCTGATCAGAGAAAGCTTCTCGGTTGTGTAGACAACTTTTTATACTTAACTCTTCGACCAGCGCTATATGAAACGTGTTTTTGAGGTTTGGAATGTGTTACATGATGACCGCCAAAGGTGGCACTGCCTAGCACAGCCTCGGTGTGACGATGGTCTAGGAAACCGGAAAGGCGGTGTGTTTTGGAAGACAATGACGAGTGCGTAGATAGACTACATAATTAGACACCTCCTAAAGCAGTCACAAGACCCGTCAAGTTCAATAGACACAAATTGCACATTTATCATTATCAGAAGCACTACAAAATGCCTCTACAAAATGTAATTTTAACATGTCCTGTTCAAAATGCTATTACAAGTGATCTACACAAAGTTGACTGATTAAAAAAGAAATTCACACAACACAACCTATTTCTCCCCTCAAATAAATTACTATCACCGAATTAAATTTCAATAGATATTAGATACAAATTTTCAAGGAATGTGTATTGCAATGTGAAAGGGTAGTCGCAGTAGAATACGCAAGTGATCTGTTAACTGGTCCCACTTGAATATAACATGAATTTATAGACACATGGGATACACCTTGCCACAGTACCACAGTTATTAATAAAGCAAAAAATAAGTATAGATTCTGCTGAAAGTAGCTGCCCAAAATTTCACACAACAGTTCAAGCTTCCTCCGGGTTTCCAGGAGGTTCCGTAGAAATACTTCGAAGAGCACTACTCACTTGTATGCGCAATGACGAGATTCATCTCGATCTTTGTGTTTTGGGTGAGGAAGCGTAAGGACGAGGCGTGGACAGTACCGCTCCGAAGGGGCTTTAAAGCCAAATGCCTGCCCGACACAAGTTTCAATGGGTTTTAGCTGCGGAGTAGTCGGACTCAAACTGTTGAACAAGTACGTATAGGATAAGGGTGAATATTAGGCCATTATTTGGCTAAAGAAACATGGAAGAGCTAGTCGGCCATGTCATTCACAAAAGCGTGAGTTGTGTCGTTACAGTGAAGTCCTAGAGAAACTTCGAGAAAATCGCGGGAGAAATCCAGACTATTGTTGAATTTCCGGCAGATACCTTTCGCCCAACCTAACATATCAATAAATAGCGTTAAAACACTACGACTTGCTTACATCTATACCTTATTCGAGAGAGACCTCTGCGCATCGTGCAGTGCCTTTCTAGTTTACTAGTGCAGCAGAGCGATCGTAAGATAGAGCTGAAGCTCCTATTAAAAGAATAAATCGTCAAGTAACTAAAATTAGTTATTCACGACTAGCTCTATAATCACTAATTTTTCTTTCTGCTCGTCAGGCTTCCAGTTGATATAAACCCCATAACGGCCTTTGAACGCTACACTAACATGGTGTTTGAAATCACTATTCCATTCCCAGTGCAATCGCCTCTATTTTGCTGACAAGCATTTGAGCTCGATATCCTTCTTCACACTTCCGGCAGAAATCAATCACTCCGAGCAAACGTTTTATGCCGATTCCATAGCTGAAACAAGCCTTGTAAATCAATGAACGATGTATTCTAGAAGAACTTGGGAAGTGATTTTGATATGTGTCAATAAAGCACTCCCTGTTCGTTTACTTTTGAAGAAGTGTAAACCTTTTGGGATGAGACACAGTATACGTAAGAAGAATTGTAAAAGAGACGCGATGATAGGAATTTACGTTATTCTCTTCTCTGGTATATGTCACTTCGAAGACATGTTCTGTTCAGCTTGTATATACTATTAAACTCAGCTCGTTTATTCAATCTTTGCTACTCATAATCCACTTTTTAGATTAAAACTACTATTTTGTAAAACTTGACAAATAAAGTTCCATGAAATATGTAGCAAGAAAAAAAAAGAAAGCTGAAATCGGCTCATAACAGAAAATCAAAAAAAGACGAATTCGCGTCTTTCGCGTGATTCACTCAAGTCAAAATACGTACTGACTTGACACAAAAACACCTTTTCGAGCAGGTACAGAAAATTAAAACGAAATTTTTGAATCTCCCCAAAACAATATCGGTATTTATAAACTCGAAAAAATTACTAGAAATGATTGTGACTACTTTCGATCGACGGTCTGAATTGTTCCACTTAGAAGTCATAGTCTTCTAACAGCGTACATCCTAATACCCTCAGTCCCTGTTCAGCAGAGCATTAAAAAACCATACTAAACCGCTGAAGAAAATGCGTCTTGGCTTTTAGCCTCTTGAAGTTCTAATTTTTTATCTATGTAGTGATCATAACTCTATCCGGTGTCGCACGTAAATTAAAGAATACAGTTTGTTAACCTTCACGAAAACAGTATTTTCAGCTATTCTGCGAATAGAAGCACTAATTTTTTTCGTATCACCCAATTACTGAACCCGTCTCCCCCTCATTCTGAAAGAAAAGTGCTTGATTTCTTGCACTCACTGTTGATATTTTGGCTTTTCACCATTATGCCTTCATTAATTAACACTGTCTTTCTGAACGCGCTTCTATTTCTCAGTATTTTCCGTGTCATTTCATCTAATTGAACCTGCAACGTGCATTTGTTTTGCCGTGCCTAATTGATGTCTACCTTGAGCATATCAGCATGAACATACGGTATTCCACGGGAAAGTCGTTTGAAGGTCGAGAAAAAAAATCGTAAAGAGTAAGCCGTAGAGTTTGTGTAGACACGTAGGTAGGACATCCAGAAACTGTAGACATGAGATCAAGGAAAGGGATGGAAAGGGTGTGTGTGTTAGGAGGAATGACATGCAAGCCTTGCAGTAAATTGGAAGAGGCCGCAATACCGCTATTCCCTTCCACCCTCGCTCTTATTTTCACTGGCATAGCTCGAGCTTTACCCTTGGTTTCTGTGTGATGTTAGGAATGCAACGTTGGTTGGTAAAGCAATGAAAAGCCATTCTGAGAGGGTAGAAAGACACCCCAAAATGGAAGCATAGATGCGGAATACTCCTGCAGAGCTCAATAAGGAGTGTGAACAATAGGTCACATTAAAATGGCAAAAAAAANAAAAAAAAGTTTTTCCGCAGTTTTTTGGCGGAAGTTCTCTTGTCACAAACGCTTCGTCGTTTTTTGCAAGATACCACGATTGGAATTCAGTAAACAACAAGTTTTTTCGCGATTCGTCCCAACTTCTCTCGTGCTCTTCTCAATTAAAACATTGCCATTTTGGCTAACTTCAATTAGAGTTCGCTACTCTACCAATGATTGATATCCTATATGTACAATGGATATGGAAAATTCGTGATCTATATGATTATTTATAGCATCTTAGTGGGCAACATAGTTAAAGCAGTATTGGAAATCAAAAAAACAGAGACTTCTTTGTCAGTGTACTTTTACGAGGGATTGACTTAAGAGATGATTTAGCTGGAAAACACATAAAGAAGTAACTTGCAAAATCAAGAAGCCCTTTGCAAAAGTTTTTTATAGGCTTGAAAGGGAGGATATGATTCTGAGCAACCCAAAATAAACAGTGATTCCTTATTAAATGGACTTAGACTAAATAACCCTAAATAACCTGAGAAAGAGAGGTAGAGATTGCTTAACCAAAGCAGCGTGCCCGACGATTGAGCGAAGAGCGAAATGACTGCAACGAAAGGAACACAGCCTTAATCGTACCGTACCTTTTCGGAGGGTGTTCAGTTTTTTTATCTGCCTGTTTATCCTTTTTGTTTTATTTTTCACTTGCAAGCGTATTACTATACTCTCTTGAAAAAAATTAGGTTGAAGTTCAATCGTAACTCCACGATCTCGAAAATATTCTTATAAAACGCCCTGTTGAGGGAAAACATATTGGCTTGTTCGTAAAAACCGCAAATAGAGATTCCTTGGTCGAGTGCTCTATCAGCTAAACCTCTTAGCCTGGACGATATTGAGATATTTCGTTTAGGCATTTACTTTGTTTATTTTATGATTATTATGGGGGAAGGCTCCCGTTTTTCAGTCGAGAAACTCAAGTATAAGCTTAAACAAGGAACCTGATTTTGTGTTAAACATCAGGGCGTGATTTTATTCGTGCCATCATTCACACTTAACGCTTTCTTCCATATCATCATTGTAACTTTTCTTCTTCTTTCTTTCTTTTCTTCTCGTTATTGTCGTAGAAATGTTCCTGCGTTCACCATGAAACATCTTACACTCGGTTAGGAGTTTTTCGTAGCTTCCATCAATCACATTGTAAATGAACAGCTTAGAGATCAGAAAGATGAGAATATCCTTGCACAGCCTTTTCAGTTTAGCGCACGACAATGAGAGCGAATGATTGCTTTCGAAGTGACCGTTACAAGCAGTATCTTCTATCACATAACTTCTAGAGATGTTCCAAAAATCCAATTTTCATGGACCCAAATGACGCTTTTCCGAAATCAATTTACTGGGCAAATCTGTTCCATGTCATTTCCTCCCATTTGCCGGATTCCTCTATCTCATCGCATATACTTATATACCTCATGGAGTAGAGTTCCATGGAAAACGAAGCAAATAAATGGTCTGTGGGGATCTATATTTTACTGAGAGGGCAGCACTCGACCTCTCGACTCGCGAGAGTCAACGAGCGAATTTAAAGCACTGTCGATGACTGAAAGCCAATGGTGCTTACATGCCACTCATTCACCGAAGATCAGCGGAGAAATCGCAGATCCCGTCATCGTTCCCCATACAAATTCATGATCAAGAAAAATATGCCCAAATGCACGTTTGGTACCTTTTAAAGAACCACTTTCTCATCGGGCAAACCGTCGTTGGCTACTCATTCTGCTAAATCCGTACGGCTGATATCGTCTTGGACAGTTGCTAATGAAGATGACACTGTCATTTCTCTGAGTTAACACGTGGCCTATGAGTATGGATACCTTCAGTTTTTCATTTTCAAAAACAGCCACGGGATTACGGTATATTCATGTTAAGACTCAATAATCATCGACTCAACACCAGGCTTCTACAAAATTGTAAAGATATGTAGATTGCTGAACGTTGCATACACTTTACAGTAATTCACCTTTGCATCGTAATATTAATTACTGTACAGCCCACTCCTCTTCAAAGTGTTTTCAAGGGAAAACAAAGTTCCGTTATGTAAATAACATTTGCAGTGAAAATGTTCTTTAACCCTTAAGAGATAGAAAATTGAAACGTTCTCCCACCTTTGTTGTTGAAGAAGATTCTGCAGATCATTACTCATTTTGTCCAGTTCTCGTTGTGAGAAAACATCAGATTCATGAAGGACATGCATTATGTGAGCTGGCGACGTCAAAACGGGCACATCGATGACGTGGCCTACAGTAATCCCTACTTCGTGCAGCGTTAAGCAAGACAATAAAAGTCGTAAATATTCATCGAAATAAAATTTTTGACCTCTAAGAACTTACCGAATGCATTTATCAATTCGAGTTCCCTCAAGAAAGACCGATTAGAGGATGTGGCCAGAACCAAAAGTCGGTGGTCCTATAATGAACCGATTAGAATAGATAACAGTAAATAACAGGCTTGTCGGTTATTTTAACTACACGACTTGTAATAATGGAACACTTTTCTTCCTTTTTAGTGCAGGTCATATTTCCAACGTGACAAATGGGCGAGTTAAGAAGAACATTAAGAAGGCGAGGGCAATTGGGTATGGTAGAAGAAGCGATGAGGAGAAAGGCATCCAGGAGAGCACAAGTACGGGTCAGAGTCCCGTCCTATGCTGAAGTTTTGCCAATAACTCACCAGCCTTGAGAGGCTTTCAGATATGCGAAGTACTGCACTACTGCTGCGAAATAAAAGCAGGTAATAAACATCAATTGGTATTTGTACAAGCCTAAGAGTACATAGTATAGCTATAGAGCTACTATATCTATCTAGAGCTGTATTTGAAGAGAAGAGCGCACTAAGAGCATTAAATTTGATACAATTCGATCCGGGACCATCCAGGTACCACAAGTATCAAAAGAAATGGACATACTAGTCTTCGCATTAGCACGTGGTTTTGATTTTCTCACAGGATCAAGGGCCCTACTTTGGAGTTCGAATTCTTTGAAAACAAAAGAAGTGGTCAATGTTCCAATTCCTTTCATCTTTTCTTTTGCTAGGCATGTTTTTGGAGACCCTGCCCTTTCCATTAGTGAAGTTTAACGCAGAAAAAAAAAACCTCGACCACGAAAGCTTGTTTAAAATCGTGACAGCTAGATGTAAATGATTTCCGCCGTTTAGAGAAAAAACTCGGCTGTATGAAGACACAGAAGTCCAAGCCAATTAACATCACGAAAACTTTCTCATTCATAAAGATAAAAAACATGTCTTAAAGCTGCTTCACGATGCTTTCACTTTCCCAGTTTTCATGTACACAAGCAAAAAACTCATCAAACTCAATCGGTGCAAATTACGCATGAAATCGGCCTGTCCCAAAGGATTTAGTGTGCGCTTGTCAGCTTTACATCTCAAAAATTGAGATTGGGCCTGTGTTGCCTAGAAAGTGCCCCAGGGAACGTAAGTGAGTAAAGATTTGCAATAGCAGATATCATTTATTTGCACTTATTCCTTACCAAGCAGCTTTCAGAACTGAAAGAGTTGGCTACAATATGAGGCCCACAAAGTAGCCTAAGTTCAAGGAAGTAAGATGCGCTAACGTTCACGAATATTTTTCAAAATTTTAATTCGAATCCTTGAAAGATACTGGAGTGCGAAAAACAAAAAGTTTAACGGCAAACAGATATGGTGGGTTCATTCCATAGAGTAAGGTGAAGAATATATCTGGGCTACAAAGTTTGGAGCTGTAGTCATAAGAAATTTGCCAAATGCTTGCAAACTTCTTTGGCTTGCAGTTCGTAAAATTTTCTTTCGATTTTCTTACTTTTTTCAATTAAGTCAATTGCTATAGTTTCTTAGTAAGGTGTGTTTCTAGCAGCCACCTCTGCTCCGTGCAACTATGAAACTAACAAGGCTTGCTTCTAGTTCCTATCTATAAAAGGCTTGCTGAAATCAACTATTGATCTTTTCACTATTAAAAAACTCTTCAAAGCCGTTTGGAAATTAACTTTATCGACAAAAACTCATGAGGTAGATATAAGGAAGGTTTCCAGTAAGGCTCTAACACGACTTTCAAGTCTCGTGGGTCTAACATTCGAGCCAAAGAGGGAGAGGATTGGATTTCTACATGGAGGATCCTATTTCGAATAAATTCTCGCCCTTGCCGGACATAACGCTTTCATTGAAAAGATCTCTGTTGTCTTCGATGTTAGATTTTTTGCAGCTTGAAGCAAAAAGCGACACAAAAGATCAATAGATCGGATTATATTAAATTGACAAACAAAATTATCGGTTAGCTCTAGTAGCTAGCCACTGAAGAATAGTGACAAGAGAGAATAGACCAACAGAAAAAGGGTGTAGGTAAATAGGTAAAATTTGCATTTCCTAAATAAAACCCATAACAGGCATGTATTTGAAAGACCTATACTTCATTCACAGCTCTTTTCTATCGCTTGAAATTATAGCGAAAAAGAACAGAATGTCACGAGGGAACGTCTACTTGAGCTACCAATTACATGCATGCAATAGAGTTATAAAGGTTCCCGATTTTTAAGAATCATACTACCCTAAAATTCCATAGATAAGAGCGGTTTAATTTACCGGTGAAAGTTGAATTGGATTGAATGCAGTCACCACTTCTCCTCCGATTTTTATTTATCCATCCATCAAGTTAGAGGGGTGACTGCATTTTTCATTCTTTTTCAATTTTTTCCAATTCATTTTTCACCTGTAAATTGAACCACTCTTATCTATGGAATTTTAGGGTAGTAATCAAGAGCTTGCGAAACAGCACCTTTTATTATTTCTCTGCATGCGAATAAAAACAAGTGGCTGTAACGACGAAACCATTCACGGTCTCTTTGGGATGCACCCGTAACTTTGTCGGTTCATAGCGTTCATGATGAATGGTGAACATTTCGTCTGAATATTGCTACGCTCATTAAAATGACCCTTCTGGAGCTAAAGTATCGCTGAAAGAAAATCACGCAATTTCACAGATCCACAGTTGTTCACATTGTGAAACTGAACATTATTTAAAGGAACCATCTTCACCACCGAAGTAACTAACTGATCTTGGGTTTCTGCCCAAATTGTTCATCAAATTGTTAACGCATTATATGACCGACCGGCAAACTCTTGGATAAAACGACTATTAGGTGCTGTTAGGAAATAATAATAATTTGTCATCTTGGACTTTTTGCTGAAGCCTTGAGATCCGTGGAGCAAGGACCGAATACCCAACGAGTCATCACTCCCATTCAGGAGGCCATCACTATCCACGGGTTTGGCTTCATCTGATGAAGCAACAGAGATTTACGTCAATGAGAAGTATCAGTTCTGTTGCAAAACGAGTTTTAGCATTCCGGACAGATAGATATGTTATTGAATATTCACATCCAAGTTCTTCCAGAAGTTCGTCGTGACCATAAAATTACATTCAAAAAAATCAAATGTAGGATGTTATGTACATACCGGTGGAGGAGGTTCATTCAGCAAAACCAAAAGTGCTTGAAGAACCAGGTTAGAAAAACGCGGTCCAACGGGTGAATAGTCTAGAAACGAGAAATTTCAACACTACATGAATAAAATTTTTGAAATAACTTGTTTACCTAACAATCTTTCAACATTATCTATAAGCAGAACACTTAATTTTGAACGGAATGCATCAGCAAAGGCTTTCCTAAGGCATTGACATTTTGCAGACTCCGAGAACCCTACCATATCTCCAGGTGATACCACCTACAATTGAAAGCTAAGTGAAAAGACAGTAATTGCAATCAGATCCAAATCATTAGATAAAAAGAATTTATATTGAGCGTAACAGAGACATTGATACCTTAATGAGAGGGAAGTCTGAGGCGCGAGCTATTTCAGCGGCCAGGAAGCTCTTCCCAGATCGTGGAGGTCCTGGAATATCAGAGTTTTTTGGGCATACAATAGTGAACTTAAGCTTCCTACAAATTATTTCCAGCGAATCCAGATAGAATAGTGTAAGGAGTTAACTATGGATTTCTCACTTCGTTTTCTTTTGTATGAGCTTTCTACCACAGCGGAAGAAAGAAGAAAGTGTTAACGGCCCTCTATTTTCATTGGATTGTTTCTCAAGAGAACTCATACTGTATCATAACCTGATCCTTGTTACGAACTGAAGACTACTACACGTCAGAGCTACAAAAATTAATCCCGAGGAGCAAGTAAAGAATCGTTAAAAACTTCAGAAATTATGCATTCAGCGTCTGAGTATCTTGATATAAGTCAGACACGGAAGCACTCAAAAAATCCACAGAAATCGAACAAAATTTACCTGCTAGCACTGCAGTAACAAAGCCGCCAGCATCTGGATTCACAGTCTCTTCAACTAGACGAGCACCTTCTTCGAGTATGCGTGTCACCTCGCTACCCCACACAACCATACCACGACGGAGGAACTTTTCCAATGATTCATCACTTCGCCCAAATGCCTAAACAACCGGAAATGTTAGCATAAAAGGAGATATAGCGAAATACACCAAAAAGAAAAACTAACCGGTTTAATATCGTTTTCGAGGGCATAATCAAAATCGGCTGCATTAATCATCAATTTATCAATAGCATCAGGGTCAAGCTGGACTTTTCCTCCAGCTTTTACTAGCCGATTCATAGCACTAGACTGGGCTGCTCTTACGAGACCCTCAATTTCGGCACCGGAGAAATTTTTCGTTCGTTTGGCCAGGTCTTCCAGATTTACTTCTGGGTCCAGTTTCTTGTATTCCCTTAAAAGATTATATGAAGGTACGTATCAAGAATGAATGGCATGGATATTCAGCAACGAGAATTGGAAAAGAAAATATCACACCTCATTCGTGAAGTGTGGATTTTCAGGATCTGTAGGCGACCGAATTCATCGGGAAGGCTGACTTCCATCTGGACTTCAAGACGACCGGGTCGAAGCAAGGCCTCATCGATCATGTCTTTTCTGTTGGTCATACCTGAAGCAAAGAAGTCGCGAGTATTCATCTCTCTTCGCGTCTGCTGTTTACAAAAAAACAAAAATTCAATAAAGAAAGTCTTACCAATTACAAGGATATTGTTCAACTGCTCTACGCCATCCATTTTTGACAACAGTTGGTTGACCACAGTATCATGAACAGATGATGAGCCGGCCTTAGTTGCAATGTTCAATTCAGTATTCGATTAAAAAAATTAAATAACTTGGTGGACGCTGTTACACAGACATCCTATTCAAAAACCCTTTCCCTATCGTTCAGGATACATGAAAGTTCACTTCAGGGACGCTACTTCTTGATGCAAGCCTTCTTGGTCTACCCAAAACATGATCAGTGCAGGAAAATTTCACAAAATTCAGCCTTTCACGTAAATCGACAAAAACCATCTCTGATAACAATCCTCACCATAGAACCTCTCTGCTTGCAAATAGCGTCGATTTCGTCAAAGATGATAATATGTAAACCAGAATTTGAACCGCATCTCCTCCACTCTTCTTCTGCATCAGCAAACAACTTTCGGACATTAGACTCCGACTCTCCGACGTACTATAACATTCAATACCTGTTTTGGAAGGTATACGCAACTTCATCAGCTACCTACCTTATCCAATATCTGCGGACCATTCACAATCTTCGGTTCTCGTGCATTCAGCATTTTACCTATTTGACGCGCCATCAACGTTTTTCCAGTACCAGGCGGACCGAATAGCAGGATACCTCGCACGTGTTTCATTCCTAAGAGTGGAAAAGAAGATTCGTGGTTAATATTACCACCCAATACAATACGAAACTATACCTACCAAGTTGTTCAATGAACTCAGGTGGAAATACCCTCGAAGCGAAGGCTCGTCGGAAAATTCCAGAAAACTCCTTATCCAGGCCACCGATACCCATCTTTTGGAAATCCCAGTCTGGGTTGATTATGGAGCGATAAGCGGACTTCCTTCAATGGGAGCAGTTATTTCTAAGCAGATTTATGGATAGTGAGGCAGATACTTACCCTTTACTTTTTCCTACAAGGTTAATCGTGGATCCTTCCTCTTTGTCAAAAATAACGGCCGAATTAGGCAACAGCTGCCCGCAGTCGATCTGAAACAGGTCCTCACTACTGCACCCATCTCAATTAGAGCTATGGAAGTGAATAAGCACCATTTTATGCTTGAATTTAGAACGAAAATTAATAAAAAAAACCTACTCACCGGGAAGGGTTTCGACTTTTCATCGCCAGCAGCAGCAGCGTTGATATCAATACCTGTATAACGAGAGAATCACTGCAATCCTGGGTTTAGGAGATTTATATAAAACGAACCTTCAATGCTCTTCACGATGAGAGATAACGTGAAGGTCTTTCCCTTTTCTGGATCGTTGAATTGGAAAACACACAATTCACCCTTGGTAAATGCCATACCACCAAATTGTATGGAGAATTCACGTGCCATAAAATCAGAATTCAACGGTTCAGAAGTGGCACTGGAAAGATAGGAAGAAGTGGAAAGTTTATAAGTGTGCATTGAAAAATTCCACCCACTTTTTCTTCAACTGGAAATCCGCTGATAGAGTTATAGATCCGATGTATTGGTTGCTCTGAACAAAACGAAATTCGAAATATGGTTCAACGAAGAACAACTATGATTCAGTCAAAAAGGATGTACCTTGAAGGCAAAAGGCGCTACGAGAACTTCTTGATCCAGACTAAGAACAGCCCATTTTCTTTGAGCGATAGCGAAGGCAATTTCTTGTCTCTTCATCGATGGGTGATTACGAATAGTAAACACGTAACGATGTCCTGGACCGGTCTGCATTTGGATATGCCTGGAATGAATATGAGCATAGCGGTCTCTCTTTTTTTTTTTTGAAGATTGAGTGCTGTAGTGCGACATATAGATGCAAAATTATTTTTTTTAATATTTTGAAATATGGGGACAGCCTTTATTTTCAATGTATCTTCCATGAGATTAGCCAGCTACTTTTGAATACATGCAAGATTCTTAAGAAAAATGAACGTACGAGACCTACTTGTCAAATAAGAGAAAAAAGTACCCAGCTAACTAATGAGAATCCTCTTGCACTCCCAAAATCGGTACGGTAAACATGAAAAATTGAACCTCTGACATTTGCCGAATTAAATTCTATTTCAGAGTTTCCCCCAATGTATTTCAATCCTTCAAATTATCTTGCATTTTCTCCCAATCAAGAAACTCATTTTTCTTCTTGAATGGACTTCCCAGAAATGCTCATTTCTACTTCGACCAACAGATTCGATTTTCCTAGACATCTACTTATTGGATAAACACACCCTAGCAATCTAGAACCCAGGGGACCATGAATCTCTCATGCAACCAAATCGATGCGTCAGCGAGGAAGTATGTCATTTACGGAGATTAGAGTAACAAATCTAAGCCGTCCCGAAAGCCCATAAATGTCGAGCTATTGACATTACTGGCAACAGCGTAAGGAATGGCCATTTTCTCGTTTGATGTGAAATTAATTCAAGAAAAACGGAACACAAAAAGGAATGCAATGCATTGGCAACGAAGGAATGCCGGCATGGAAAGGATAATTGCATTTGAAGTCTCTTACCAAGATGCTTTGAAGATTGTAAAACATCTCGCAAGGGTGAACATAAAAAGATCAAAAAAAGTTTGATTGAAATCAAGATTACCATAGAAGATCTGCCTTTCAACAACATCAACTTTATGATGTAGTGAATTAGAAAGAATTCTATTTGATGAAGGACGGCAGCTGTTCCGTCACAGCAGATCATTTCTCCAAGCAGGTATTGAGGGAAATTAATAAAAGAATAAATAAGTTTGCATATAAAAAAGCGCTTACTTTACACCCTGAGCGTCGAAATCGTCTTTATTAACGACAGCTGCATTGGTAACAGCCAATTCGTCCGTTGGACATTTGCGTACCTTCATTTTGATCTGAAAAGCTCAACAATAACCCTCGAAAATCTTAGAAAGTTCCTAACAAATTCAGTTTCTGAAGACTCATTCTAATAGAACTCACGGCACTCATGATGAAGGACAAGTTGGGTCACGTTGATGAGACCTGAAAAGAAGTCATAGTTTAGGCCGAGGGTAGGGTATGCCGAAATGCGTAATGAACGAGTAACGACCACTAGTAATGAAAAACGACTTATCGATCAAGGAAACGTTAAAGAAACACCAAAGGATGAAGGTGAAATGAACGATGTCAAGGCTCTTGCTCAGGAATCGATCTATGTGTTCTAGAAAGCAATAAACTCAGTAATCCTGACAGCGTTCCAGAGAAGCTTGTCTTGGCGAGGATTTCGGATAGGAAACGTTGAGATTTCCCACAGAAGACAGCAAGCCTTTTGCATAGAGCATTTATAATTGAGCATAGTTAAATATCACTTGATACTGCTCACTAAAAGTAGGAAAAACTATGCTTTAGCATTCTCAACTATTGCGATTGATATCCTGTCATCTTCTTTCCAGGGAATTCAGACAAATGTCCTCTCCACAAGTTTTATAAGTTCACAAGGATAACCTTTCTGATGATAGGAAATCAGAACAAGAAGCCTTAAAACTGAAACGGACCTCTTCTTCTAGAAAAATGATTCATCTTTGTTTCGCTGAAAACTCCATCGAAATTGTAAAATAGACGACTCACGAGTAAGCAAGAAACATATAAAAAAACAAGGAAGAAAACAAGTAGATGAAAAAGGTGAAAACTTTGAAGGATCGCAAATAGGCAACTGTGTACGACTGCACGTTCTGCAACGATTGGCCTCATTTCAGGGCGAACCATGAAGGCATGGAAATTATGCATTTTATACGACTCTCTGGCTCAACGTCAGCATTCGCTTCCAAGAAAGCCGACAAGCAGTGAGGTACCACAGTATGCTGACTCCACCTCTTTCGATGACAAAAACCCTAGTTGGACATTTCACCTCATGCGACTTTGAAAATTCAACCACTTCTTGTTGGGCAAAGGAAAATCCAAAGAAGTTCTTCAATAACAAAAAATGGTGGTTTTGAAACTCTCGCTGATCGACTGAAACTGAACCAATCTTTGTAGGGAATAATGGCAAAACATTGCGAGGCAACAACCACTACCGCATGTTTTTGGCAATCGCCAAGACCTCATTACGACGTCGTTAGAATTATAAATGAATAACAATATCGCCATGGAAATAGCAACTGGCTATTCGTACAAGTACGCCTGCGAAAGACAGTAAAAATACGGCTTGCTCTATGCCTTCCTCAAAACACTAAGAGGTTTCGCATAGAAAAAGGGGCGGTTTTAAAGAGACACTTGATCGAGCTATCCGTCATTCCCCTCTAGCCATCACGACATGAAATATGTGCATTCCCATTGAAGATTTAGCTCTAGGAATGAATAGGCAAAAGAGCAGAAAAATGAAAACGAGCGAAAGTAAAGTCCCATCGAGAAGATAAAATAAGGTTTAAAAGAACACATGAAAGCATGGATGAAATAGGAAACTTATCGGAGCCAGAAGCTTAAGCATTACGAATAACTTATCGGCCGGCTGAAAGCCCGACCCCTCCCTCCAGTCGCCGGACGAGGACTCGACCGGATCGATGCTGTGGTGACGACGACGGCAGCCTAGAAAGCGCTTATCTCCAGACTCCACCAACCGGAACCATTCAATTTTCATCTTTCCATGAAACGACAGCAAATAAGTAACCAAACATAAACTATACAAATACTATCGGAAAAATTAGAAATTTCTTTGAGAGTAGCGAACTTTGTGATATGGAGAAGCTGTAATTTACATAAGAATTTCACATAGTTACACCAAAACGAGACTATTACATTCCTACAATTTAAAGAGTGGAAGCACGGGATGTGAACGGGATTTATAACAGGCGTCATCTCTGCATGACAACCGTACTTGCAGAACAAAGCCGCGACGCTTAACACTCCCATATCGCGCGCTTAATCTACACGTGTTGCGGCCACGTCCACACCTTTGAAGGTAAAGGGGCTTTCATTGAAATCACCACAAAAACAGCCCCATTGCTGTCTCGGTGGAATGTCGTCCCTTTCATGTGCATGAATGCGGAATAACGGCTACATCTATGCCGAGCGCATTACCAGCTTCCCAGACCGCGATGAAAAATGGCCTTTTCAGTACGAGCCCTCCACTCTAATGAGATCTCTAAAAGACCTCCGCAGCTGACTCATGGGGAAAACGTGGAATTTTTCTTGCGGTTGCGTTTCAGATTGAAATTGAGGCCTGTTATTCGAGCCAAATAATAAAATCCTATCAAATTCCCTATCAGGTCCCAGGAAACACGTCCCAACCTGCTTCATGGGAAGCTCCTCAGCTTAGCAGAAAGCTCTCATTTAGATTTTGCATAAATAGTTGTTCGGTTTCACATAAATTCTAGTACCCGCCTTCAACTTGGATGGGAGTAGCCGCTTAGTCGATCTACCTCCTTGAACACTTTCAATCCACCCAGAACCGTTTCCCTCTCAAGTGCCTCCGCTGGCCGTTTGCGATCTCTTCTAATCCCAGGGATGATGTGAAGTAATAAATATGATCCGTTCAGGTTACCTCAGTTGAGCACGCCAGCCGGGATTAAACGCTTCATCACTCTTCCATTCTTTGGGGTGTACCTTCCCTTTCAATTAGTCATCGATGTTGTCGAGGACTCTAGACGTAAACTTATAAAAGGCCCCTGCTGAGCTCCAGGGCCTGTTTCGTCCTCGAACATGCTCAACACACTTTGGGTATTGCTAACATCCCTCCACTACCACTTCCAATCCATTAGCCTCAGAACCGAGTCACGAGTTTCATAGGGAAAGCAGCAAATCTAAAAGATTTCCCATTCAATGTGGGTGGCTGTGGGTATTCACCATCAGGGAAACTTGGAGTCATCACCTTAGTTCAAAATATCATGACATCACAAAGTGCAGTTACATGGTAATAAATATAGCCACTATATTCGTGAGACCGAATCCAGTGAAAAGCAAATCGATGAAAGAGTTCTCCGATAATTGATGGATAGTGGATGTAGCATTGGAACCAAGAGTTCAAAAAGCTGAATAATTCACGTTTGCGAGCCTAAAACAAATAGATGCTCTGCTACGCCCGTTCTCTTCTATCGGGCACCATCATGGGCCGGGTAGATCCATTACGTATATGAATGTAGGTAAATGTCTTCATGATCAGGCCCGTCATCCCCACAACCTTATACTATGGCACCAGAACCACGGGCAGGTTTTAGATCCCTCCCAAAGAATTTGCGAAAAGCTTAATGCACGGAACAGCTATTCACAGGTAGTGGTCCCGTACCGATTATCCTTTGAGAGACGCAATTTTGCGGTAACTTTCAAATATTTGCGGACAATTCGTATCCGGTATTGGTGCTAAATGTATTTGCTTGCTTTTCATTAACGAACTTTTTTTAGTTAGGTTTTCTTCCTGCGTTTTCGTGGGCTTGTGATACAATCAATCTTTTCATGTTCAGTCCTCAGCCTTGAAATTAGCTTCCATGTCCTAATGATACAGTTTCTGAATGGGGTTCATTGTCAAGATGTCCATGCGCTTTTGTGATCGTTTTTGGTCAAAAAAGTTATTGTTGCAGATATTCTTCTTTTCATAGTATCTGGTGCCTTTCTTAAAAATGGCCCAATTATTGCTAGACGTACTGCAAAAGACCATTTCTCAAAGTGGGTTGCTTTTTTGATTGGCCTACTTTTTCAGTTTGAAGTGTTCTTTTCTTCCTAGCAAATACCTAGTTAGTTACAAATATTTACTTACAGACCAAGATGATCAGAAACGAGCGCTTGAGTTCTTGAATGATGCATCGGCACGAGATTTCGTAAGTTTATCGAATTCCCTGTTAGGATTTTCCAATCAAGGAGAAGTGGATATGCTTGGTCATAAAGCAAACCCAAAATTATTTTTATTTGTGAGCCCTTTTTTATTTCAAGGGGCACTTTTTTCATATTTCAGCCTGCCTTTGTCAAAGAGTTGAGCGTCATCCTTCGGGAGGAGAACTGTCAACCATTTGCTCGCCAAGCAGCTGGCTTACAGTTGAAAAATGTTCTATACGCGAAGGAAGAAGAAACGCGAGCCCAGTACCTCAATAGGTTCGTTTTAAGCAGCTCTCATCTACTTTCCTTTTTACCTCAATCTGGGGTTACATTATGTAATTGATGAATGCGGTGATCATCATCAATCAACCTGTCCAGCTTCTCTGTTACCAAAGTTGTAATATTCATTCGTGCTTTTATCGCCATTGTCAGTAATTCGCTGAAGGAAAATCAGCCTTTCTCAGCATTAATATGATGATTATCAATATGACTTCTGCAAGTACCATTTTATTCGCTAAGAATAGTTAATCTTGGGAAAACTGAATTGATGTGTGGAGATGCCCTTGAATATAATAGTAATCGGTAATGGGAGAAAGTGTAAATGTAATGTCTGCCCTTGTAAGACTCAGATCTTGCTTGGAAAATGCTTGTCAGCCTAGTGATTTAGGTGGCTGACTCTACCGGCTGATATTCGCACTCATGTCAAACTGCTCGTTGTTCAAACCCTTGGCACTGAACCTTTCCGGCCTTCGATTGCAGCTCAATGTGTGGCTGCAATCGCCTGCGCTGAGCTTCCATCCGGTGTTAGTTTTGTGAACCGCACTTCATAGTCAATATAGACACGCAACTTTCTACGAATTGATTTTCTTCATTTAGCTTTGGCCAGATGTCATCGATGCCTTACGTACTAGCGTTACGAATCCTGGAAGTACAGCTTCCTTGAAAGAATCGTCGCTTGAAACTTTGGGTTACATCTGTCAAGATATTGACGCTTCAGTATGTTTTTCTTTAGAACAACCTGTGGGAAAAAATCCGTCCTTCTTCCATATTCCAAGAGATGACAACCTTTTGAGGTACTTGAACAACAATCCAACTCGATTCTGACAGCAATAGTTCACGGTATGCGGAAAGAGGAGCCTTCATTTCATGTTCGCCTGGCTGCCACGAATGCATTATTAAATTCGTTGGAATTCACCAAGAAGAATTTCGGTATGGAGGTTCGTGGTAAAAAATTGGGATTAAATTCTCATTAGCATTCGGCCTTTTTTCGTCTCTTTGGTCAGCCATTTGCATTTTCTTTTTGCCTTTTAATGCATCATATTTGTTCTTGAGGCCCAATTAAACGGAAACTACTCTTAGAAAGCGACTTACTACGTCATAGGGTTTTAGATAAATCATTTTAATTTTTCGTATCTCGAATTTCAGGCAGAAAGGCATATAATTATGCAAGTTGTCTGTGAGGCTACACAGTGTACCGATACACATGTAAAAGTCGCCGCTCTTCAATGTCTAGTTCGAATAATGTCGCTTTACTATCAGTACATGGAGCAATATATGGGATCCGCGCTTTTTGCGGTGAGATGTAACTTCAATTTAACTGTTTTGGTTGTGCTTCTTTCCACATAACGCTCAAACTTTATTTCAAAAGATCTCCTTAAAAAAGCTATGCATCGTTGGAGCAGGTAGACGGGGCGAAATTAAGAAAGCTGTATTGATGTTGCTTCTCCTTTGTGAATATGTTCAAATGTAGGTATATTTCTAGATTTCCTTACAAGCAATCAATTCGGAAGTGCCAGAAGTCGCTCTGCAAGGGATAGAGTTCTGGTCTAACGTGTGCGAAGAGGAGATTACCTTGAGCTTGGAGGCCGAGGAGGTAAAAGATGATTTGCAGCATCTCCCATCAGTTGATCTCTTTTCCATAATTTTTCTTTCTAGGCTGCTGAAAATAACAGGGTTCCAGAACAGGTTTCACGACATTATGCCAAAGGAGCTGTCTCCCATATTTGTCCTCTGATGCTCGAAATCCTCACGCATCAAGGTTTTTTGTCTTTTGCTGTTGTTAAAAGTAATAGTGTACTTTAGGGGAAAGTTTGCAGATGAAAATGATGACGATGATGATTGGACTCCATCGAAAGCGGCTGGTGTTTGTATTATGTTAATGGCACAGTGTGTTGGCGATGCTATTCTCGAATCCGTAATGCCATTCCTCAAGCATTTCAGCAGTACAGATTGGAAGTATAAGGTAGGAAATTGCGCAGATAGACTTTAACTGCTTTGTTTGATTGGCTTAAAGCTATTTTGCAAATTTGCTCGTATTCAGGAAGCGGCAATCATGGCTTTTGGTAGTATTCTTGATGGACCGGATCCCGCAAAGTTGATGACCCTTGTCGATCAAGCAATGCCGGCGCTTATTGATAGTATGGCGGAGAAAAATGTACGGTTCCTTTTATCCACTTATTTGCATGTCCAGGAAATAGGTTTAAATTGCAAACAGCCTGCAATGGATTTCTTTCCTCACATTTTCTCCTTAAGTTTCATCTTTCACAAACCAAAAGCTCAGGGTTTTTTCTTGGAAGGGTCGTATACCCAGAAATCCCAATGGTCTCGCTTCAAAATTGTATTGCAGGTGACAATCAGAGATACTGCCGCTTGGACAATAGGACGAGTTCTTGAGATTTGTCCCGAAATTGTTAACAAGGATGGCATGCTGGCACGATTGCTTCCAACACTTAGCCAAGGGCTTCACCAGGAGCCCCGCGTGGCAGCCAATGTTTGCTGGGTCAGTCGTTTCCGTCAATAGCTAAATTATATGTTATTAATAGTAACCTTAATTATGCATAATTAGAGTTTGTTATTGTTGATATTTTAAGGCTCTGGTTGCGCTTGTAAAAACAGCTTATGATATTGCTTGTGGACAAGGAACCGATAGTACTGGACAACCTGATACCTACGCTCTTTCCCCTTGCTTTGAAGCTATGGTTAGCGAGTTGATCAAAACAACAGACAGGTAGATTCTATTTTGCTGTTATGAAGATCATTTGTTTTACCCTGTAACCTCTTTTCAGAACTGATGGTAACCAGTCGAATTTGCGGCTTGCTGCCTTCGAAACGTTGATGGAGCTCATTAAGAATTCACCAAAGGATTGTTATCCGGTTGTGCAGAACACTACTGTGTTAATGCTGAAAAAGTTGGAACAGTTGTTGAATATGGAGGCAACTACCACGTCTAGTTCAGATAAGGTTCTGAGTCCCGCTACCAATGAATACATATATTTTTTGTAACACCTTTAATCGCCCAACTGTTTTAGAATCAGCTTATGGACCTTCAATCGCTGTTGTGTGCTACGCTACAGTCGGTGCTGCGTAAAATGCGTCCCGAAGATGCGGCTCTTGTTGGAGAACATGTCATGAATGGTCTTGTACAAATAATGAATCGTACATCCAACAACAAAGGTGGTGGAAGTGTGATGGAGGAAGCGCTCCTGGCGGTCTCTGTCCTCGCAGAAAGTGAGATTGCTCTTCAATTGTTTTCTTTATCACGTTTGTTCTTTGTTCTTGTATTGGCCGATTTTTCACTTTTTTTTTCTCAACAACCTGCTCATGACATTACAGCACTGAACAATGGTTTCATCGCTTACATTGATGCATTGAAACCTCATCTCATGAGGGCTTTGGCTAATCATGATGAGACACAGGTAAGCGATCAGTGGAGCAATTATGTGTGTTCAAAGTAAATAGCGATTTTGTCAAGGTATGCGCTGCAGCAGTTGGACTGGTGACTGACATGTGCCGTGCCATCGAAGTGAACATTGCTCCAGCCCTTGATGATATCATGAATACGCTTGTTCAGAGTCTGCAGGTCTGTTTTGAACCCTAAGTGTTTGGGTAGAAGCGATATGCGTTTGAATACTGATCTCTTCGACTTGCTGACTAGCACGTATCATCGATGTTTTCATTAAGTCCTGCCTCAGGCTAGTATAAACTACTGTGCTATGTTTGTTAAAACGGCTTTGAGCGACCCATACCATACTGTTCGTGAAAACTTTCAAGCATCGTGTTGACGGTCGTTGTGGTATTCGTTTAACGTCTTGAGATGAGAGACTCGATGGAGGAGCTGACCCAACAAAAAGCAGGTCGCTCCGATAGATACATTGAAATCACATGGGAAGATAGGTATCACATGTTCCTATATGATGCCACTGTGGTTGGTAATGAATGTGCTCGAAAAAAACCCAAGAACTATGTATTTCGAGTATCGATGTTCCATAACTTGATGTTTCATGGCTTAAAAAGCGAACAGGAATCCTCGCTTTTTCCATGTGTGAGGTTTTTCTTTTAATTTCAGAGAGCGCCGCATTTGTTTGTGTTCTTTTTACATAAATTCGAAATTACAGAGCCCGCGGCTTGATAAGGATGTGAAGGTGACGATTCTGGGATGTTTCGGTGACATTGCTCTGGCGATCGGGGTACATTTCGAGCGTTACGTACATATTGTGATGTCCATGCTGGCAGAGGCTTCATCAGCAGCTATTGTCACAAATCCCGTAAGTTGAACGCTATCTTGGTATAGAAGCGAAATAAGGAATTAAAAAGCTTTTGCTAGAAGAGACAGTGAAGGAGGAGCCTGTAGCATTTCTAATTTGCGTGCTGCAGTTTTTCCGTCTTTTCTATGGTCTTTGAGTTTGTTCTGCTTCCGTCGGAAGGGAGGCATTCTACTATGTTAGATATTTAAAAAAACATGTTAGATATTTAAAAAAACATCACTTCATTAATTTCTGATTCTTGGCCACAGGGATAGACATAGCTCAAGTCCATTGTGGGACAGATTTTTTACGGTTGGCGGACTTTCTCCAGATTACGTGCAAGGGGTCAGTGAGGTTACGTAAAGGCCGTTGCGCTGACCCGGTCAGGTGGGACAGACGGCAGGTCTCTGCTGCATGAGGTCGCGACGGTGTATCCGTAAACAAGTTGGGGTCACCACACCGAATGTTCCAAGGAGATAATGTAGTTTCAAGAAAACGTAATTTTGTTGAGTGCATGTGAGTGAGGTCAAGGAATGTCTTCACAGAAATACATGGATTGGAGAAGAATGTCACGGGATCTTTTCGTGGATGTTGTCTTCACCTGCGGTAATTGCATATTGTGGCTCTTCCCGTGATATTAAGACATGTAAGATACGAAAACGTCGTCCAAAGTTATCAGCCCTTACGGAAATCTTAACTGTAAGAAGACTTCCATTCGCTTTATGTCGGTAGCCCATTCTGTTCATTGGATGACAGGTGTAGTTATCCCCTCCGTATGTGCCTTCTGCCACAAGTGCGAAATCACTAAGGTCTCTGTCCTGCGAGTGCTATCGGCTTGCTGTGAAGATCGTCCTCTGATGTGCACGGCATGTGTGTTCGGGTCATGTTGTTTACGCGGAAGCGGTCGGTGACGCAATAGGAGGTCGCGAACTCTTATAGAGTAGAGCCGAGAGGAACAATAGAAGCAAAGACAACGAATAGCGCCAGATTACGCTGATGGCTACAATAATACAGCCGCAATACCACGAATGATTCTGAAGAACAAGCTTAGCTAGAAATGTTAGCTCAAGAGAACCTTTTTTGAAGGACACTTTCAAGATCGGTCCTTTCTCGAAATATTCTCTAGGTTCCTATCCGAAATTGTTATGTTTTTGAGTGTAGGCCACGAATTTAGCCTACCGCTTTCAAACACTCGAATCGGTTGGAATGTCTTTGCCTTTTCTTATTTTCGCTTGACGAGTATAACTAGACTATTTGCTCACTTATTAGCCGTTGAGCTGGTCTACTCGATGCGATAAAAAAGGAAGAGATGTACTTTCTAATGCTGGAATTTTGATGTAAATCTTATGAAACCAGTGCGAACTTAGCTTAGTCTCACGAGAATTTTTTTATTTCATGTAGCGTTTACTATTTTATGCTGCAACCTTGCACAAATCGCAAGTGATTCATTTGCTTTCAGCAAGATTACGATCAGGTGGATTATGTGGATAAGCTGCGAGAGAACTGTATCATGGCTTATACAGGAATCCTCCAAGGAATGCGACCTAACGGTTCAGACACTGATCCAGAAAAGGTCGATTGAAGGGTCTTGTCAGAAAATTTGAATTTGGAAATTAGAAGCATTCCAAGTGAGTAGCTGCCACCATTTTTTTCAGAAAAATCAAGCGAAGCTGTCTTTAAGCCGTTTCGTGCCAGCCATGGTCAAAATGATCGCAATGTGGGGTTTTTCTATGCTTTTGGTTTTTTATTTCATTTCTTCGTTATTTTAAAGATTTTCGATGATCGGTGCCATTTTAATTCAAATTTCAATACTTTTGCTTTTAGATGCTGTGAAACTCAACCAGTGGCTCCATCAGATGGCCTTGTTGCCTCAGTAGCTGGTCTGATTGGTGATCTCGTTGTGTTGTACGGTTCTCAAATCACTCCGGAACTCTCCAATGAAAAGGTGAGCGGATGTTCGGTTTATACGAATAGCTCTCTCACCAGTAAAGCAGTGCAAGTCACGCCGTCTTTCATAGTGCTGTCTTTTTTATTATAACTTGTTATTCGCTATCTCGTATTACTACTTCGATGCCGCTTAACTGACTCCCTGACTTTTTCTCTAAGATATTTTTGATAGGTGAAAGCGCTTCTTGATCGAGGACGAAAAAGTCGCACATCGAAAACGAAATCGGTGGCGATATGGGCGAGAAAGGAGATGCAAAAGGCGATGAACGCGGTTACGCCAGCGCCTTGAGTTCTTGATGCCGCTTCTTCTCATGATGTATCGTAGCATTTTTCGATTCCATATTTGCATATATACTCGATTCTATGATGAACTATGCCTGCAAAGTCCCCTGTGAGAAAGTTGGCGTGAAAGAGTTCCAGCAATCATAGAAATCCTTTAGCTTTACTCAGAATAACCCCTACTCTTTGTGTATTCGCCTTTGTTTGTATTTCCAGCTGCGGGTATGTTTGTGAGTGAGTGCGTTTTGTGTTAAAAATTTCTTCTCTTTTGTTTTCTCATCATGTTTTACTTACGTTGAAGTCTTTTCTAGTTTTATTTATTTCTCCTAAACAAAGAAGAAGTACTAAACCTGCGGTTATGTTTGTCGTTTACATTGAGCCGGTTGAATACGAGTAACGTGTCCCAGTGAGTGAGAGACATTTCGTAAATTTTATTTCAGTTATGCTAGGGTATTTGCTAGGTTGTTACCTGTTGAACTCGAAATTTTTTCCGTTTTTTTGGCTGACAATGTTTTACGATTATAATTATTGATTTGCTCAATAGTGTAATTTTTGCTAGCAATTACAATAGTTGTCACATTATCCAGTAACAAATAACCAGTTCATAGTGTGAGCGCTTTAATGTTGATGAGCGAGTGTGATGATAATGATGAGTTAGAGACTGTTTAGGTATCGTTTTTATCCTAGTCATCAGCATTTATCTCTATCAAAATTTCGTTTTGATCAATTAGACTGTAAAAATTACTTTAAAATTCACAGTTACCGGTTAAAAATGATGCCGAGTTGTTACGCGAGAGTCGTTTGTTTGATTGCTTGCTGTGCCCCCCTTTTCCCCCAAAAAATCTCAGAATTGTGTTGAATGTTTGTTCGTCGCTTTGAGAACTTTGTAGGCGTGTAGAAGGTGCGTGCGATTTTGTTGAATTTCATCTACGATTTGCCATCTGTTCAATAAATATGATCTTTCGATTTGAAAACTTGTACAGGGGTAAGCCTTTCAAGACTTGTGTAATGTCTTGGTAGTTTTAGCTAGGAAGTGGACAACCGGTTGGAAAGGCCTGATGGTTACATTTTCAATTAGAGGATTACTCAACTCAGGGTTTAAATATCCAGCATACTTCCTCGCTTAGATCTGCGAGCATTCTATTTTTGCTTTGATTTTTTTCTTTCTTTTTCGGGAATTCATACTTGATCGTGATTGAATTCAATCCTCCAATTTTCTAAACTTCGATGTAGAATGCGGTAATCTTACCCCCACGCTAAAATGTCAGTCGTAAATAAATTGGATTGACATTGGGCCTGTACTAGTTGATTTGGATGATGCCTATTAACCATATTTTGGTATCTTGATAACGTAGCTATCCATCTCTTCCCGTCAATCATTATCCTTAAAAGGTGAGGGGTGAAGGTGGGAGATATCATCACAGCTGGCTGTGAATTTATTGTGAGCTCCCAATGTCGTCCGAGTTGGTGGTTATAGTAGCTCCTTTAAGTTCATGGCTGGAGCGGCATTCGATGGCATTTCAATTTGATTGTTCGCCAGCCTTCTGGGCTCGAGACTAATTTGACTCTAATAGATGGGTGAAAGGTCTGCGAATCGCTCCAAACAGCTGTTTACAAGTACATTACTAACTTTTATTAGGTATAAAATTCTGTGCAATCCATAGGATGTAGTGTGAAATGCATTACACTGAGTGAATTATAATTACAATCGAAATTAACTACCATATGGTCACACCTGGTTTTGAGCACAACGTCATGAATACTCGTGAGAAAGTAAGGTGATTACGTTAGAAAAGTGTGAGTTTAGGCAATAATGTTTTCGCATAATACCCGTACCTATTAATAAAAAAAAGTTCTCATAACGATGAGAGTACGACTTGAGAGAGATCTATGAGACTTGCATTCAAGGCACCATACCAGTTATAGTGAATCGAGAAGTGGTAACTTGAAAAGCATTCGAGTAAATTTACTGGAATTTTCTTTTTCCGGATTATTCAGGCGAACTTGGGTTTGAAGACATTCGGTAAGTTTGAGGGAAACATTGTCATTTCCATGGACTCCGTCAGGTTGGGCGATATGCACAGCGCTCAGCAGTGCCAACTCTTCCAGTCCTACATGGCCAAGACCGCTACGTAGCCGTTCCACCAGTGCTGGACTGGTCGTCGAAGGTGTTGCAGAGTCGTCAGCGGAGAATGCATTTCGGAGGAGCTGAAAACGTTAAGTGTTACTTGACAGTAATATATTTTCAAGGGAAATTTCCAGAAAGTACCTTCAAATTCTCGAAATTTTTAGTATATCTATATGATCTGTCATACTATAAATACTGTACTACTAAAACTACTGTAACCACAAAATTGCAAAAATTCCCGTTTCGCAGGTTCTATATTAACGGCAGCAGAGACGTCTGTCTGATAGCTTTACGAAAATTTACACGTTTCGCCAGGAACCCTTCTCGGATTCCAAGTTTTGGGAGTGGCTTACTGTTGTTGTTTACTATCTATGGACTCGGTATAAATACTGTTTGCAACGAAATTTGATTTCCACTTATTTGAAGTCTCTTAGAGCTGTGAGAAAAAACACAAATAGAAGAAAAGGAGCTGTAGAGATCAAAAAGAACTCGACAGTTCTCTGAAAAAGGGGCGGAGTTGTCGCTTACCATGCATCCTTTTGCGCCTTCCCGAATCTTTGTAGCCAAAACGTCCTCAGAGTATTCCTTGAACAGCGAGATCTTCGAAACAAAGTGTCCGACTCTTTGTAGTAAATCCTTAAAAAGAACTTTTTTTTTATTTGGAGAGCATAAAAAAACTTGAACGTATGATAAATTGAAATTCATAGTATTTGGAGTCAATCTAATCAGATGTATCATGAATAACAAAAACAGTAAATACTAAAAAGCAAAATTTCAATAATTTCAACATAAAAAAATCGAAGCATTCCCGCTTCAAAATCTTCAGTTTATAGAAATCAAAATGTCTTTGTAAAAAACATGACAAAAAATAGAGACCCGTAAAATGACGAACAGATCAGAAAGTATATTCTGTTCTCACTTTATAAAAAATTTAAGTTATAAAAAATAATGGAATTCGAATAATAAAAATAAAAATTAATAGTTAATAATTAATTACTTAATAATTTAAAATTAAAAAATGTGTTATCGAATAAATATTACTGATTTATATTGGACGTAATGACAGTAACAATCACCTCCGGATTCTGAACCGTGATCCCTTCGCCGAATGCCTCACGATAAGCTTGAGTCACTTCCTCAACGATCTTCATCATCACCCTTGTCTCATCCAATTCCACATCCTTATCGTCGTCACGAGTCTTCCGTTTTCGTGACCGATCTTGTCGAACGGACTCCTGGAAGTATTTATTTAGTTTGAGATTTTCTAAATTTTATAATTGCCCTTCCCCGGTGGATACCAACCTTCGACATGCCCTTGTCGAGGCACTTCTGGAACCGGCAGGCTTGACAACGATTTCGACTGACTCGATCCACTGGACAAGTCTTCTCCTTGTGGCAGGTGTACTCCATATTCTTTTGCACCGTGCGTCGGAAAAACCCCTAAAATCACGATCTTTGTAGTTTTGTTGAAGATACAGCTATTGGTAATAACTAAGTATCATATTGGAGTTATATTTGGTCCAACAGGGTATATCCAACCTTGAATCAATATGTCTCCCTATGGGATGAATTCGAGACATCTTTCCAAGTTTATGACTTCTAATTCAACCCAGTTTTAGACTTTCAACTGGGACTAATGAAAATATGGTGGAGACAGTACCATGAGTACTTTATAGGGCTTACATATCGAAGCTCAAATCCGAGGCCGATCAGAATTTGTTTCCACCCAAACAACCAAAGAGCCCGAACATCAGCCACTACTCCACGACTCTGCTAAAGGCATATGCGTGTTGAACGCCTTCGAAATTTTAGAGAATTCTAAGGCATGGCTTATTCCCGGTGCATCGATTTTTTCAGTTGTTTCATCTTTCCTACAATATTTCCTGTTGAAGCAACTCCTCACCTTGCATCCTTCACAGCTCATTACGCCATAATGATATCCGCTAGCATTATCGTGACAGACTACACAAATATCACGTTGACTCGGAGTGTCACCTACAGGCATACCCATTGTGAAGAACTGCTGCATCTGAAATTACCTGGATAATCCTTTTCACAATAATTAATCCGCTATAATGATACTGTTATATAGGTGACGACTAATTTAGGTGTTGATCTGTTTATATTTACCATTTACTATACTCCTCTCAAAACCAAAAAAACAGAAATCGAAATCAAAAAATCCAGAATTTTCACAGACAGCTCTGAACTCAGGGCTACCGGAAAACGATCAAGAAATTGCCAGGACTGAATCTGCCATACTTATGGAACGTTCCAAAACGATTTTCTCCCCAAGTATTACCAATAAATCAACCCTTTTTACAAATCTCTAAAATTTATTTTTTTTTTCAGTTTTTTAATCTTTTTTTCAATTTAGGTTTTTTTATTTCAATATAATTTGGGTCTTTAAAGTTTTCCCTCCATGATTTGTTTAGGTTGTTTTACAGAAGTGAAAAACTTGGTATCCCAGCCCTACCCCAAAGGTCACCTCCAGATTCTGATTTCCATGATTTATAAAAAAATAATTTTTAGATGAAAACTATCAAAAGTCTAGATTTCATTGATTTTTTTTTGTAATGCCCAATTTTTTATTAACACTGTTATCTGGACCATCATTTTCTCAGAAATTTTCGATTTTTTCGGGAATTTCCATTATCAGTGCCTTAACGAATTCTTCAATCTTTACCCTGTAGTGATCCGGATAATTGGTCGACGGTGGTGGCGGTCGTTGAGGGGTCAGAGAACCCTGAGCTCCTGGCGGGAAACCGAAGTTCGTGAGTTGTCCAAGTGGTCCAGGTGCTGTAATTAACCTAATCGATCAGGGAACAATCTCCGACACTGTCAAAACTAGGGCACATCCGTAAGTAATTGCTGGGATTACGTAAGGATTACTGTAGAAAGTACTGCCAATGAAATACCTGAAGAGTGTTGGAAAGGGAAGTTTCCCATTTGTAAATGATGATGGAAATTTGGTGGTGGCATTCCTTGTGGGTTGTAGGCTGGTGGTTTTATCGGCGTTGGAGTTTGGAGCTGAGGCGGTGGAGCCTGGTTGTGGAGTTGAGGTCTTGAGGAGGCTATGGCTGGAGAGGACAGAGGCTTCTGCTCTTCCTGCGTGGGCGACAAGACGGGTTTGGCTTTCGGAACTAATTCCGCCTTCAACAGGGCTGACACCGAAAACGAGTTCGACCTGGAATGTAATTCAACTAAATACTCATACAATGCAAACGAACGATTTCCATATATTATTTGGAGGACAAATAAATAAATACATAATTAAATGAAAAAAGTCAAAAAAATGAAAAATGAGAATATGAAAAGGTAAATATTTAAATACGCCTTCATATAAAAGCATCACCTAGAGGAAGGGATGCCAGGAAGCAATTAAACTGAAAAGAAGGGAACGAACCTTGAGGATTCATTCGATGAAGTACCAGAAAGAGGTGGAGAACCGGCATAACTCAATGATTCGTTACCAGAATCCCTATAAATAAACAGTATATTCAGAAGGTAAACTGTAATACCGTACCCAAGTAACGTACCGATCTTCAGTAGGGTGCTGGATGGAAGCCATACGTTTCACAAAGGCAGCCGTAGCTACTTCAAGAGCAGTAGGTTGAGGCTGACCAGAACCAGACTGCTGCTGCTGGTTCATAAATTGAAAAGCGAATTCAGGAGGTGGAAAAACACCGTTCAAATACGGCTGAAACATCTGAGCCAATAGGGCAGGCGGATACATTGATG